ACTGCTTGCTTCAAGCTTTCATCTCGATCAGCGCTGCGCATTGCAGTTATTACAGTTGCATGGTTCTATATCTTTGTTACTTCGTAATGGTAGCGGATTCCCTCTCTCTTAATTGACGAATTGCTGTAATCGGTGGTTGATTTTCTGGTTCGTGTTGCTTGGGTGGGCCTGATGCTCTCGTGGCGAAGACATGTGCAACATTGAGACATCCTGTCAATATAGTAACCATGGTTCATCTGGCTCATTTGAAGTCTGGAATATTCGTAAGGAAACAAATGCATTCTCCCAAAGTCTAGGACTGCAATACAATAGGTACAAGGATCATGGTTTAATGTTTTGTCAACGACATCCAGAACACTATCTCAACGATTTGTCAGAAGGTCCTGTCATTTGTCAATCCCGAACGAAGAAAATCTTCAAAGAAAGATATATGAATAAAAAAAGAAATGAGAAGGAATGAATAATTTCGTTCAGGATTTGGATTGGACCACGGATCGTCCGCCAAGAACAATCCAGCATCATCCTAGCATTGCAGGACGATCGAATTACTTACAGTAACACGATCGATCCCAACACTTTGCTCTGGGGATAGCGGATAGTGTGCAGTATTCATTTCAAATTGCTATCCCCAGTTATTATCTACTAGTTTGGCGGACAAGAGGAATAGATACATGTCAATATACTTATGATTTGAAATTTTTCTGTTAGCTCAGCTAACCCAAGGTCCGAAGTTACGTACATGGATAATCCCTGAGGTTTATGAAGCAGAAGTAACGACATGGTGTTTTAAATTATTATATTATCCGCCCCTCAACAGCTCATTCCTCTTGAATCCAAGAATTGACCCCGGGGCTGATTTGCAGTGCGTGAGTTGTTTTAATTGTTGCCCGACCCTGCAGAAACAGACGTTCATTACCTTGAACAATCATCTTCACCATCGTCGGCAGCCTTCCATAACTCAAGCTCTTGAAACAGGTATTTAGCTTTATTTTTATTTTTATTTTTATTTTTATTGTCCATTTTTCTCTTATTTCTCTGTTCTCATTATATGCCGTCTATTTTCCTGCAAACCTGACTGTCATTTCAATTGCTGCCACCTGCTGTTTTGATGTACCAAATTTATCATCCCCCAATCGCTGTAGCCGAGTCCGCAAGACAGCGCTTCAGCAAAGATCATCGACCTCTTTAACCCAAACGGTCGTTCCTTTCCGGAGACGTGTTTAGCTTATCCGGCCGGCGGTGGTCCTTGCTTCGTGGCGGTTCTGCGAGTGAGGATCATTCTTCCCTCTCTCTGTGGTTGCATTTCTCTGCCTGTCTGAGCTTGACACCCAGCATTGGGCTTCGGGTTCTGTCATTCTAGACTCTGAAGCCTGCCACAGCAAGGTAAGAGAAGGATCAAGCCTACCAGTACCAAGAGGATGAGAAGAACCAGCAGATCCCGTTCCCACGGTGTATCGGCCCTTCTGCCAAAAAAAGACGCACGGTCTTCTACCCAGAAGATCCTACTCCCATCGTCTACTCTTAGCCGATCCACATCTTTTTTTATTTTTTTATTTTATTTTGATTTATTACATTTCTTTTTTTATTTTATTTTATTTTATTTTTTTTGGCACGGCTGGTATTTGCTATTACTATTCCCATTTCCCTTTCCTGCTAAATTATCTTTATATCATGATATTTTTTTTTAATAATCTCCTGTCTTATTATCTCACTTAATCTTTGTACTCCCTTCCGGAGTAACTCCTTAGCAATTTTTTCTTGTCTTTTTTTCCCCCTTTATTATCATTGATTTGATGGATTTTTCTGATTTATCATTGTCGAAGAACCAGGCCTACCAAGCAGTAGTTTGTTGACGGACCGTCGAGTGATCCACAAGCGCCCGCCCTGTCTCTGCTCTGCTTCTCCAGCGCCGAAGGATCAAGGATCCATACCCGGTCGGGGTTCCTTAGATAAACGAACGAAGGCGTCGCATCAGCAGAAAGTGTAAGAGAGAAACATTTTGCAACATCCAAGTTGCCTTGCAGCTACCTTACTCTTACATTCCCATGCAGCAGCAGTCTTATCCAGCCTACTGTCTGTCAGCGATAGAATCATCTTGTCATTACACACGTGTTATTGGTATGTTGACGTTTCTGTTCCTGCTACTTTGCTGCGATGCCTACTATTCTCTTATTTGCGTCCATTGATTGTATTGTCACCGATCTCCTGTCTTGCTGTTGTTATTTCCTGTCTCCTCTGGTTTGACTCGGCTGGAGTCGAGTTCACTCCTCAGTGACCCTTCTTTCGATCGAAGGATACATCGGATTACAACCAGTCTCCGCCATTGCTTGGTGCGTGAACAGGTATCCAAAGATAGACTGAAGGTTCCTGTGCCGGCTGGACTGGTTATCCCCCTAGAATCCTTCGGTTCGATATTCGAAGGCTGTCATTGCCATTATTGCCTATGGACTTCTTCCATAGTTCTATTGCACACCCAGAATAACCTTCTTTGTCCTGATCCCCTTGTCTGAGATTGATCCACCCTGTCTTCGTTCCCCTCTATTTTACCTCGCAGCTTCTTCCTCTTCGTTTTCTTCTTCCCCTTCCGACCTCTTTCCCCCAAGCCTCTTTTGGCTAGAAAGACCTCCAGCCTCCCACTAAAACGCGGAAGCTCAGCGGCTGCCGCCCCTCTCTTCGCCCTTTCTTCCCCTCCCCCAACCCAAGTTTACACAATAATCCTCGCTACCAACCTTCCCCTCCGCTCGGCCCATCCATTGATTGATTGATTCATGGTTGATGATTCTCGTTCCAACGGTGTGAGCTTACCTCTGATCTAAGGTTCCCTGCCCAGCTCTGTACCGTACATGCATGCATACATTCTATACACCACGCATGCAAACAATATTACCTACCCTAGGACATTGAAGCTCCAAGGCAAGACAAGAGAATAGCCTAGATCAGAAGGGAAGAAAAAAAAGAAAGACTGAGAACGAAAAGTCGGTACGCATAGCCCTACAATCACCTCTATTATTTCCTTTCATATTTTCCCCTTTTTTTTCCATTTATTTTTTATTTCTTTTTCCCTTCCTTTTTCTTTCCTCACCAAACCCTTCTCTTCCACTTTTTTCCGCACTCCAACCGACCTGTCTCACAGCTGCTGCGACCTATTAGGCGTAGCCTCAAAAGGTCCAGTCCAGTCTTGTCCTGCGTTTGCTGTACTACCAGTACCAGTCTACACCCTCTCCATTATTACCTATTATTCTACGTACCAAGACTGGGACTATCACTCCCCAGCCTCCACTTTTCCGTACATGATCTCCCCGTCTGCCTGACCTCTTCTTTCTATGGGTCCTATGTCCTGTCCTATGTCCATGTCCTATGCAAATGCAAATCAATCATTCTTTGCCTCCCACCGCCTTCGAGCCTCGTCTTCCTCTTCCATTCTGGTTTGATCTTCCCAATCTGGACCCCTCTGAGAGTTTGTTCTTCGATTTTTCCTCTTATTCCTCTTATATTTGCCGCCGGAAATATAAGTTTTCTCATTTTCTTTTATTTTGCTTTTTCCCTTTTTCTTAATTTGATTTTATCCTGCACCAGTCTCCCTTTGCCGCGTCGTCACCGTACCATCCCTTCCGTTTGATGGCTCTTATACATACCTACAGGATCCCGCCTTGATCTTCTCATCTCAACCACTCTGCTTCCATGCTTCCATGCTTTATATTTTCTTTTTCTGCATGACCATGTTAATGACCTGAATGCTTTGCTTACTCTACTTCTGCGATTATCTCTAGACTGCTCTGACTCCACTGTTGATCCGTCGAGCGGTATCTGAACTCCAACGAGCTATCACGAACTTCCCTCCTGATAGACACCGTATATCCGACTCGGCACACACCATTGGGGTTTCATGAGAAGCAGTGTTTCGACGTTCGATGCTGGAACTTCGCGTCGCCCCTCACATCCCTATATTTACGATTTGAATGAGACCCATGATTGCCTGCTACTGATCTGGTTGAGCGAGTTTATTGACCAATCTGCGATCCGTTTTTCGTCTCGCTTCCCCCGTGCTGTCTTGTTCGTGTCGATACCAAAAAAAAAACTACACACCTTTTGTCGAAGAAAAGTTTGTGGATGTAGATTTCTGTCGGTACACACTGCATAGCGATTTCCTCTGTCCAGCGACGGTCTTGAAACATTTCACGTTTACGACGTTCGACGACCTTCCACGATTGATCATTGCATTGCCTGCACCGCGCGCATTTTTGAATTTCACGAAGCCTTCGTGAGAATCGACTTTTTCATTTGTTTCTTACGAAAACGGACTTTTTGACGCGGACCTCAAACCTGATATCCGTGACCTCTACAACAAAGCAACGGAAATATACACGCAGGAAGGAAATTCTTATACGGTACGCCGGACGCTCATAGTTCGACGTTCCTAGTGCTCCTCTGCTACTACACTTTCAAACCGATACCCATCAAACCGAAAAGCTGGAGCTACCGTCGATCTCCCAGGTCCACACAAGAGGTCCTGTTGATATCCCTTGGTACAACCACCACGCCGCGGAACGACCGTTGTTGTCTGGTGACAAACTTCCGGCGCTCAGTCTTCCCACGGCCTCGCAGCCGATCGTCTCGGGGCAGTCCTACAGGGCTAGCTACGAAGAGTCGGCTCCGGGTTCGACCAGCTCAAGCGCTCGGACAAGCCTATCGTCCGGGACCGCACCGACCATCAGCGAGGCCAGAACCCCGCCGTCTGTTGACCTTGTGGCTGGTGGACACGGCCGTCTCTCCCTGGAATCTTCCGCCTCGCAGGATTACACCGTTGCGCAGAATCAGGTGAGCGACAGCTATTACCCGAATCCGACCCTCTGGGCAGCATGAACCAAACGCAACCTTACATGGACGTGCACTCGTCGCATCTCTCATCCGCGCAGCCGTACGCTTCTCAAGCGGCGACGGCAGGAGCGATGGCCCACTATCCTCAATATCACCAGCAACCGCCTGTCCTGCAGCCAGCCTCGACCTACGGTCCTGCCAGCTCTTACTCGCAATATGGCTATCCTAGCGGTGTTGCCTCGTCCCAGGCCCCGCCACCCCGCCATCAACATCGATGAGCAGCCAGGTTCCTGCTCAGTTGCTGCCTTTGCCTGGTAAGCTTCTGGGCCTTCTTAGTTGCTATGCTTTTCGTGTACTAACTTCCTATAGCAGTCAACAGCCACACCGTAACAGCACCTGGTTATGGCAACACCTCAGGAACGCCGATGCAAGGGTTCGTCTATGATACCACTGGACAGTTGGCGCCCCCAGGTGCCAAGCCGCGGGTCACTGCCACCTTGTGGGAAGATGAAGGGAGCCTCTGTTACCAGGTAGAAGCTAAGGGAGTCTGTGTTGCGCGCAGAGAGGGTAAGCATCTGAATCGTTACGGATGGACGGTCAAGATTATTAACAATGAATAGATAACCACATGATCAACGGTACCAAGCTGCTCAACGTGGCTGGTATGACTAGAGGTCGTCGGGACGGTATCCTCAAGAGCGAGAAGGTCCGCCACGTCGTGAAGATTGGCCCTATGCACCTGAAGGGAGTGTGGTATGTCATATGAAACAATGGTCAAGAGTAATGCTAACAAATGCAGGATTCCCTTCGAGCGCGCTCTGGAGTTTGCCAACAAGGAAAAGATCACCGATCTACTCTACCCCTTGTTCGTGCACAATATCGGTGGTTTGCTGTACCATCCGACCAACCAGACTCGCACGAATATGGTCGTGCAGGAATCACAACAAAGGCGACTGGAGGGCCCACCATCCGCGCGAACCCCCCAAGCCTCTCAGCCGCCAGCTCTGCACCACCATCACTCCATGCAGACCTCCATTCCCTCTCAAATGCCTCAACCACCTACAATGTCCTCGCAGCCTGGTGCTCGTCCTCCGCTGGACCGAGCACATACGTTTCCCACTCCACCCGCCAGCGCCTCCAGTCTCATGGGCCTCTCAAACCAGAGTAGCTCGTATGACTGGAATAACCAAGGCATGAACTCTGGCGTACCAAACACTCAGTCATTGTCAATCGATACCAGTTTGAGCAACACACGGTCGATGCCCACGACTCCAGCGACGACGCCTCCCGGCAACAACCTGCAAGGCATGCAATCGTACCAGAGCCAATCCGGGTATGACACTTCAAAACCGTACTACTCGACTGCTCCTTCGTCGCACCCGCACTATGCTCCACAGCATTCCCTGTCACAGTATGGCCAGACAATGCCGTCTCATTCTTACATCAAGAATGAGATGGCACCACCGGCGGGACGGGCCCCGGGAGGACAGTCGGAGACTGAAACTTCGGATGTCAAGCCTGCGGACCGGTACTCACAGAGCAATGGACACGTTGCTCCTGGGGCGGGCGAGTCTGGCCCTGAGCACGAGTCGGACTACGTGCAACATGACAATACGGGTTACGGCGCTCCTCGGACTTCATACACCTATACCACCAACACATCGGTTGGTAGTCTCGCGGGCGAGCACTCGCAGCTGACAAACGACATCACCGGCTCTCCGCAGCAGAACGGGTCTGGACGTATGACCCCACGGACAGGTGGCGGGCCTCCTCCGCAATGGGCGTCGGGTTACGCATCTCCTCGACCAACCGCTGCCAGTAGTTTGTATAACATTGTCAGCGACACTCGCGGGTCATCGAACGGAGCCGGCTCAGACAACTACACTGTGGCTTCCAACTCAGCGCCGACATACTCCATGGGTGGATCGTTGGGATCTGGCAAGCGGGGACGGGAAGACGACGACATGGGCCGGCCAGACAGCCAGGGAGACTACGAAAGCAAGCGCCGACGGACCAATGAAACGACAGTTGGCGGACCAGTTGGCGGAGTGCTCCTGGGACTACAGCCGATGAAAGCCGGAGGTGCTATGCCTCGTCGTCGATGATATGCCATAGACTGAAGACAACTCGAGTAATAGCCGATTTGGCTTCCGACTTCGCATTCGTTTATCTGGTTGTTCAGGGTAAAGAAGGTTAGAAAAGGGGACGGGTCCCTCATCCACCGGCGCGTGGGATGAAAGCCTGTGCGGTCTTCAGTAGACCTTGCTTTTTTCTCTTTATGTTTGCGAGTTTTACCAGGGTCCTTGTTAGGATTCCTTTGTTGGGTCATTGATGGTTGCAGCGTGGGCCACTGACGGCCTCGCATTGATTTCATACTCGGGATGATCAGCGTTATGGTGCCTTTGGGTCATATTGTGGAATGTGCGGTTGTTTTCTGAAAGGATATACTGCGTATTGACGACCATGATGACGCACGAATTTCCTTGGATGAGTCTTTCCTTTTCACTTATATGGTCCACTCTCCATTCATCGCATGTAGGGATAGGACAAAATTGACGGGTTATCAGCAATGCAGTTTGCGTAGATATCCCTTGTACTACATTGTAGTTGGTTATCCGCAAGGCATAGGGCGACTAACCCAAAGCAGAAAAACATCAACATCTGAACCAAGGTTCGCTCAACTGCCCCCTCTGACTTTTTATCCTACCTGACTCCTACAAACATTCCACTCAAGACACCTACCTAGTAATAGAAGATGCCACCAACTCCAACAAACCACGCAACCTTCGACCCGTGGAACTCCGCCTCAACAGGCCACCAGCGCGCCGAGGACCCCTACTCCAACACCACCAGCTGGCGCGAGACCCGGCAAGCAAAGCTTGCGATCCAGTTTGCCTCGTCGTCGGGCGACTGTGCAGGCGAGTCTACCACTACCGAAACCAACAGCGGAAGTGGAAATAGAGGAGAAGGAGAATGGAAATGGCTCTCTGCGGCCGAGGCGCAACGCAACCAGCTCGGATGCAGGGATATCCGGACGATGATGGGGGGAAGCAAGAAGCGTCCTTCTTCTCCTTCTACGCCTGCCTCTGCTGTCGACGACGAAGACGAAGACGCAGGTAAATGCAAGAAAGCGAGGGTGGACAGGGAGATCATCCTCGGCCAAACTCAGACACCACCCAACCCAGAGAACAAACCCCAAGTCGAAGACAAAGACGGGGCGAGGAAGATACTCAGAGGAACAACCATCTACGTCAACGGCTCCACAATGCCGCACATCTCCGACCACAGACTCAAGTCCCTTCTTGTGCTGCACGGCGCGGAGGTCGCCATCTCCCTGGCCAGGAAGAGTGTCACGCATGTTATCGTTGGCAAGCCGAATGGCGGGCCTGGCAGTCGAGCGGGAGCCGGCGGAGGACTCGCGGCGGGGAAATTGCAGAGGGAGATTTCGAGGGCTGGGTGGAGGGGGGTTAAGGTTGTTGGTGTTGAGTGGTATTTTCTCCCCTTGTTTTTTCTCCTTCGGATACAGGTGCACGGGCTAATGGGTGTTAGGGCGTTGGAGAGTATCAAGGCGGGGAAGAGGCTTTCAGAGGGGCGGTTTGCGCTGGATTTGGCGCCGGGTGCGCAGAGGAGTGTGATGGCGATGTTTCGACGGTGATTTCCTAGCTTTATGGTCTGCTTGATTTTGGGACGGTGGGTTGGTTGGTGTTGGTCTTGGTGTTGGTCTTGGGCATATACCCCGGTGTTCTGGTGATTTCTACGAACGAAACGAGTCTACGGATCTATTCCAATAAGTAATACAATTGCAGCAACCGCAGTGGTTATACTATCTCCCTTTTGTTTGGTGGCAAGGGCTTGATTTGAGTACCAGTTGCATGGGCGACAGCCCCTCTCGAGCCAGACTATGCAGTGGCCTATCTTTCCATTGAAAAGAGCAAGGGAGTAATGGACAACGGCAGGTGTATCTCTATTCATCAAGTCATGATTCATTATCATATCATACATATCATCTATATACAAACGTCGCTAGATAAATGCCCCCGGTTCGTCGAGGAAGGGCTGTCGCCGTGTCCCGACAAAGGACGTCGCCAGCCTCGGCCGTCCGTCCCGCCGGGACTCGTGGGCGACCGGAGCTCAACTCGCATATGCGAGTCCTCACCGGTGATGAAGGGCTCCTCGTCTGGCAACGGTGGCAGCGGATTCGCTCGGGGTCGAGACGAGGATTGTACGGCCCCTGGATCCGCGGTCGCGGTCACGGACCGGGAGGACGGTAACTGCCAGCCGCTTTGCATCTCGGTTGGTGAGGTCTGAGCAGCGTAGCCATAGTCATAAGTGCCGTGACCGCCATAGACCATCGATGACCCATACGGCTCAGGGGCATCCGAGATCGAATCGCTCGACGACGAGTCGGTCCGTTCCAGCTTCTCGTGCATATCCCAGTCCTCTCCGGCGACTCGCGAATCCCCCTTCACCAGACCCAGCCGTTCCTCCTCGGTGGCTCCCTTCAGGGCTTGCCTCTCGGCACCAGGAACCAGGTGACTGCGACGCAGAATGCTGCGAGGTGAGTGAGGCGTTGGTTTGGGCGGTTCACTCTCACTCTTCGACCTGATTCGGTTGAAGACTGTGTTGAAAGAAAACTGCCGCTTGGCGCTGTGCGGCGAAGAGGGCTCACGGTCCGGTGTCTCGTCCGCCCACGCAATAGACCGCGATGTGTCAGTCTGTCCCGAGACTTCGCGCATCCCAGCTCCGTGATGATAGCTCGTGTCCAAGTTCTTATTCCCATGTACGGGAGAAACAGTCAGATGGACCGGATCCGTGTGACCGTCCTGGGGATTATAGACTTGGTGCCATTGCCCTGGATGCAAGATATTCGAGGCTCGCGATCGCAGATCATCCAGGAAAGAACGGTCGCTCTGGCGCGTACTCGGTCTGCGATCGGAGTGGTCGTCTGGAGATTCTGACACAGCCAACGGAGTATGAGGATGAGTGCCAGGCGTGCGAGGCCGCGCCATGGTCGGGCCCTGTCCCAGAACGGTCTTGCGTCGCCGCAGACCGTCCCATTCGATAATCTCGTTCTCAGCCGGGGGTTTGAGGTAATCTTCCTGCCTGTCTCGGATATACCGTTGCGCTTCCTCCTCCTCCATACGACGGCGTGCAGTCGATATCCGTCGAATGATCGCCGCAGCACCACGGATCGAGTCCGCCTTGGGTTCCGTCTCGGGTTCTTCCTGCGCGGCCACCTCTCGAATTTGATCCAAATCGCCTTTGAAGATCGCCGCATCTGGGACATCTTTGGCTGACTTGGACAGCTGCAGCAGAACGACCCCCGCGCAGATTTGCAAAAATCCAAGGATGACGGTGGCGATCTGCATGCCGGTGCCTTTGAAACCCCGGAACAACACAGCGGAGGAGACGATGGTCGAACTCGTAAAGAAGACGTAGTAGGTGGGAGTGACTAGGGCGGCATTGAAGAGGTTCAACGCTTTCTGCGGTGGTCAGGTTAGCAATAGCACTTCAACCCAGGCAGCAAGACATACATTGAGGTAGATAATCTCCGTTAGTAAGGTGGCAACGACAAACACAAGCAACACGTAGAGAAACCACTCCTTGAACTGGGATTTCCCATTGATCTGCGCAAGAATGGCCGCCCCCAGACCCTGCGTGGCCACCACGCTCAACCCACCGATCAAACTGCAGATACTGATGTAAACGAACATGGTCTTCTTGCCGTAGCGCGGCCCCAACCAGAACGCAACAATCGCACAGCCCACGATGACAACACCCGCATACGACAGGAACCCCGGCGCAATGACATAATGTTTCATATCCTGGATATCGCCGACGGACGATTGCTCAGGCGCGTTGAGAGCAATCACCACCGACCCGATAATACACGAGAAACAGCCGACCTTGCCGACGAAACTGAGCCGCTCTTTCAGGAAAATCGCCGAGAGAATAGTGGTGATCACGACCGAGAGCGCCCCAGCGGCGTCACCAAAATCGCATCGACAAACGCATACGCAACGAAATTGCATATCTCCCCAACAATCATGAGAATCATCCCCGACCACCACCAGAAGTTCTTGAGGTATCCGTACCCCTCGCCCGCTTCTTCATTGTATTTGACGTTCGCCTTCAGGAGACCCGTCTTCTTCAGCACGAACGAGGTCCCGATAAAGACACCCGACGAGACGGCCAGCGCAATGCCAACGGCTTTGTATGCGGCAGGACGCTCGCTGGTGGAACTCGAGCTGCCGGATCGGGCGGCGAGGGTCGTGGCATGGGCCACGAGAGAGTGGGAAATTTCCATGGAATCGTTCAGGGCATAGCACTGCCAGCAGTGTATGAATAGCTCCAAGAAACCTGGTTGAATGTATATGTATATATTGTCGAACAAGACGTCGTCGTAGCCGTAGTCGTAGTCGTAATCGTAAGAGTCTGACGTTAGGCCATGAATCAATGCAAATTGCTGAATCTAACCACTGAAATTGAACCCGGTTGGATCTCGCACGAGACCAGCGAATCTGACAGTTATCAGGCGCTTCGAGGGTCGATGAACAGGCCCCCGGCGGCAAATTAATTAATCAGACTAGCAAAAAGTGGAGGATCAGTGGTGGCTGAGGGCCGCGTGGTTTCAGGAATGTCGGGAGGGCCGATAAGGATTAAGGTAAGGCCACGAGGAAGAAGATGCAAGGGAGAAGAAATGACAATATCAAAGAAAAGGAGTCTAAGAACCAGGAAAGAAAAGATAATAATGAAACATGATGAAAAGGGTTCCAATGCACACAGTCTTGATGGAAACGAGAATCAGTGATGAGTGGGCGAGACTCGACCAAAAGAAAAGAAAAGAGGCTGGGCCAGTCAGTTAGTTACTCCAAAGACTAAGGTACACTTGCATCTCGACCCATGGCGCTCTCCCACTTGTCTCGGAGAATTTGGTACAGCTGATGAGAATCATCCAATTCCTAATCGAAGGATCAGATATGATCCATGGTTGTCTCTGATATATTTGGACCATGGGTCTAGCGTGATAAAAATAGCCACTATACATCCACCTTAGCCATCAATTATCCAACTATTTATCACAAAACGACAGATGCAATAAGGTTCAATCATTAACTACTTGTCTTCTCTTGGGGTATCCACCAGTAGTAAATACATCATAAACCATAGGCCAATGCGACGAACCCAAAAAAACGAAAGATGGTGTAACGCCTCAAGCCAAGTCATACTATCCTACACATGAAGTAATCAATCATCGCACATGATAACTGGGTTTCCGCTGCTTGTTTACCGCTGGAGGAGGCTCATCAACGGGATAAGGCGGGCGGACCTTCCCAGTAGACCCATTCCGACCATGATGCACCATCAAGGGCATCGGCATCAGTGCCTCATTCGCATTATCAGGATACGGAATCGGGGTCTTTGGCGGCACTGGAGGTGGTATGTTACCCTCCTGCACCTGCTCCACGCTCAGCCGAGGCGACGCCATTTGTTGCTGCGAGCCGGGCCGACTCCCGTCGCTGTGAGTATAACTGAAGCTACCGCTAGACATCCGTCCTGATGAAGGATAGACGCCGTCTTGCGGGGTCGGGTGTGGTGGCAGCGTATCCTCAGCCGGAGGGGACGGCACCCGCAAGCCGCTCGACGGAGGCTGATGTGTCATGATCGGTGCAAAGTCGCCAGGTAGCTCTGCGGGCAATTCCACCGCCATGGGGTTGGAGGGTGGCGGAACGGAAAATACTGGTCCTTGCGAAGTGTAGCTCTGAGGCGAGAATGGCGTATCTTCGGTTGGCTCTGTTGAAGGATCATATCCAGCGGCCGCATGCGCAGCCAGTCGCCGGTGCATGCGCTCGATCTTTGCGAACTTGACCCCGGCATCCATGATGCTTTTCTTTACCTCTGGCTTGGACAGGTAGCGTCGAGTATTGGTGCTGATGTCGGCCAGTCGGTTCCACTCATTCATGCCAAACTCACCCACGCCAACCTCGACATTCAGCCGGTAGTAGTTGTCCTTGTTCACTCCCCGCTTGGCCAGGTGAGTACGAAGCATCTCTTGATGGATCTCCTCGCAACCCTCGATCTTGGCGATCAGTCGTCGTCGCGCCTCGGCAAATGTGCCGAGAGCATCGCCAAAGAAATCTTCCCACCACTCGTGCTGCCGATTGTTCGTGCCCGGCGGACGCTTGCCGGTGCCCACACTGATGAACACCCCGATTTCCCGCCCGGGCCACTCGTTGACAGCCGCTTCATCCAGGATCTGCGGCGCCGGGTTGTAGGTACCTGCACCCTCATCGATAAAGAGATGCTGTCCGATTTGAATTGGCTTAAACGCCAGCCCTGTCGCCGAGGTGGCGCGGCCGGCTTGCCAGATAGTGCAGTTGAATTCGGGAGGCGGCTCTTTGCGCGAGTCGTACGATCGCAGCAGCACCGCGGATCCGTTGCGGGGAGTGCCTTTGTATAACGTCGTCACGGCACTAATCAGTTAGTACGATCCAGTTAGACTTTCCTGACTGGTGTAGGCTTACGTCTTTGTCCGATTTTCCCGATTATCGTAGAGCAGAGCATTCGGGTTCCCCCACCGTAGCCCGTTGATGATCGCGGAATGTCGCTGACTGATCGGCGTCGAGGGATGCGAAGCGCCAGACGTGCTGAAACTGCCTCTGCTCACGGAGCGCTGTGGAATCGATGCGGGACTGTAAGGCGCGCTGGCGACGGAGCTGCGCGAGCTGGCATTGGGCAGATCGTTCCCCTCGGTCTCGAATACCGTATGTTCCCGTACACATTCCCGGATCGCCTCCTCCAACTTGGACGCCTTGAACAAGGTCGAGCGGTAGGGTATGCCGGCAATGGTCTTGTCGGTCTCGAAAACGCGACGGGTCATGCGCACGTAGACTTCCTTGCAGGTTTCGAGGTCGAGACGTAGCCGACCCAGCATGAGGGCGATGAGGCCGCCCGTGCCGGTGCCAGCGATGAGGTCGAAGTGGTCGCAGGGTTTGGGGATCTGGTCTCGGCGCGGGGCTTTGCCTTCAGTCTCGACGTAGATGCGGTACATGAGTTCCTGGAGAATGATGAGCATCGAGTATCCTCGAACGCCACCTCCGTCTGCTTCGGTCAGTTTTGAACGGCATTCAGACGATGGAGTGTTCCATACCTAACGACAGAACCCTCAACGGAGGGCCCTTGGTCGTGTCTTTGCGACGTAACGTCATAGTGTCCATGGCGCCGTTTGACGCCGACGCAAAGTCGTATCTCCTAAGAGACAATCACACCAATGTCGAATTTGTGATCCTTGGATGGTTATCGGTCGCAGGAATAAAAAATAAAAATAGAATTTGAGGGTGGGGATGACAGGCGCAGGTGGGATATGGCGGGCGCCTGATCGGTCGAGTCGAGGGCAAATGGAACGGCAAGGTGCCTGAGAATCGGCGGATGGAAGATTCGATGCAGATGTAGTAGGCAGCAATATTCCTAGTTTATATCACCAAAAGATGAGACTGCTAGAAGACTTGTATAAGTGAAATGATGAAGAGGGATCTACAGAGTAATGATGAATCCCAATCTCAGCTGCTGAAGAAACATGGAGAAGCCCAACGGAGCCAGCTGACTGCGTCCCAGCCAGTCAGAATGTTCCTTGGGTCAGGAAATCTCTTAATTTGGTCTTTATTCTATCTTCCAATTGATTTATCCATATCTTTCTAGTGTGCCATGTATTATTCGCATTTGCGTGCGAATGGAAATCACATAATCTGATCTGGTGTGGCTGTGCACTGCGTCATTGAGGCTGTGCCATACGTAATAGTGTCATAATCATATCTCTGGTAATTCGAATTGGGCACACATAGAAGGTACGTAGCATGTAGAGAGGTAGCTCTTTAGCATATAGAGCTAAATAAATGCCAGGTAGTCAAATATTGAACAGTTTTACCTCAACAACTGCCCTTGTACCAATGGGACTGGGACCGCAACTAAGGTAGAGAGGTACCCCGCAGGAGTATTGCCCATAAACAATATGAACCACGGGGACAACCACCTTCTAATGCTGGATGGCAAACTACAAACTCGCCTTCCCCAGCATCACATCCCTCACCAACTTCAACGCCTCCTCCGCAAACACAACCATGTTCTGCTCCCGATCGGTCCCGCATCCCGTTTCCACCTCGCGAGTAAACGTCCCCTGCGGAGTTGACACCGCCAACGCGACGTACCCTCTACCGGTATCCGTTTAGCATGCGCACCTGAACCTCAACACTTGGGCAAACGAAGACACTCACGGAGTCCGATTCCTCGTCGCACCACCCGTAGGCCCCGCTGTCCCGCTCTCGGCAACGGTATACGTCGACTGCAGGGTATTGCGGACGTGCTGCGCGAGCCCAGCGACGATATCAGGCGTTGGACCTTCGTAGCTGTCGATGTGCGACTGGGTCCAGCCTGCGAAGGCGATGCGGGATTCAAGGGTGTAGAGCTGGTTTGTTAGTGATCCTAGAAAGAAGAGAAGAGAGTGTGAGTGGGAGAATTGCCCGTACTGTTACTCCACCCTTGTAGATTGAGGATGCCCCCGGGCGGGAAAGTAGACATGCGGAGATGATGCCTCCGGCTGCCTGTCAGTGTATCAGATGTATTGTCTTGTCTTGTACTTGAGACATGGCGAAAGGGAGGACAGCATACTGTCTCGGCCACGGAGATGGTTTCCCCTCGGGACTTGAGAAGATCGGCCACCTCTTTGATCAGAGGGCGGAGGGAGGGAGGGGAAATTCGTGTGTCATTTTGCTGAAAGAGAACGGGATTGTAGGTTGCGTCGAGATGAAAGACAGAGGCTTTGTTGATGATTGATTGTTTTACAGAAGGTCTCGCATGATGAGGCTGATGAGTGATGACGACGAGGTGCATTGGTCTTGGCGTCATTGGATGGTATTAACTTACTGTACATAAAAATGATACAAAAGTCTAGATATCCATCATTTTATCTGTCTCTCTAGAATGAATAACAGTTAACATGCAATCGCACCCGCGCTGTCTCATGCCCAACACCCCGCAAACCCAAAGCCATGAGACGTTGTACTCGCATCGAGAACCAGACCCGGAACTCCAAGCGAGCGGCTTTCATCTCGTCTACAGGTCTCCATCGCCCGTTGTAACCCCAGTGGAATCATGCATCCCCTTCCGGCCCGCCTCGAGCCGGCTAGTGGACACACTGTACGAGGCCGCGAACTTCTTCGCAAAGATCCTCAGCACCTTTGGGGAAGAAACCACGGCTATCCGGTCGTATGCTTCGCCAGCTGTGCTCAACGAACTCTGGAAATGCAAGCTCAATGCGTCGGAGGAGATCGACGTCATCCCTGCTCTGAAGCAGGAGAGGTCGAGATGGGCGCTTCTGCAGAAATACGTCTCCGGCTGGCGGAAGAAGAAGAAGAAGAAGAAGCGCAAGGGCAAGGAGCAGACGCAGAGCGCGAACCAGAAGAACGCCTCGCACACACGGCTGGACTGTGCAGTGCGTGTCGGATATCGGGATTATGCCAGGCGGGTGAAGCATGATCTGTGGCAAGTTTACTATGCGCGCTGGCCGTCGCAGGAGGACGGGGAGAGCAGCACCGGGAGTGGATGTACGGGGTTGGGAGGGGATCTGAATCGATTGGAGCATTTGCACAGGAGATTCGAGGCGCTGTATGATGGATTGGACAAGCTCTGTGGCCAGATGCATAACATCCAGTCATGTCAAAAGTTTATCGATCAGGCCCAGCTGCTCCTGATCTGCATGCATGATATCGAAGACTGGTGGCAGCCGACGGACAAGAGAGGCAAGTTTGCGAAGAAACTCACCGGTCGAAGATAGCAGTAGATCTTGCGAATCCGAATCAAATATGAAGCAATGTAGCTCTCACTATTGAACTTGTCCTGCAAACTTAGTCAAGACCATCTGTGCGAGGAACAATCTCAGGGGTCAGGGCTTTATGTTCATGAGTCAAGGTAATTGAAGAATGTAGATTCTTATGAAAATATCGTGCGACCATCAGACAGACAGTTGAATGAAACCCTTCCAACGCTTTGTTCAATTCGTCAACCCCGGCCAATCTGAATCTGTCAGCTTTGACGTGGATTAAGGAGTAGACTGACTGACCGTAAACCGTCCTCTCTTTCATCGTCCTCAGGACGTCCACCTCATCTCCCACTCGAACCATCACCTTGTCCGATCCAGGATCCAAGAAGACATATCGCCCAAAGACAGGACTATACTTCGCCCCCTTATCCACCCTCCGATCCTTCATCAACTTCTTCAGAGCACTCCCCGCCTCACCCGTCCCCATCCTCCCAGTCGCATAGTCAACATTAATACTCTGACACCGTACACAATTCGCCGTGAGCAGCAACCTCGCCGCACTACTGCCTTGTCCGACCCTCAACTCAGCCCAAAAGTCCTCCTCGAAAGCCGTCGCCGCCCCGAAACAACAATATTCGGCCGAAACTTGGTCACATCCATGCGCTCGTCTCCCTCGAAGCGCGCAGATAGCTCATCCACCGACGTCTCAGACGTAAGCAGGTACGGCGCCGTATCCGCAAACGTAATCGACTCGTCCTCTTTGGCTGTCGATAAACATCGCAATAATACCCACGACAGCAACCCCGCGACAACCGTCGCAGCAACACCCGGCCAATGCCTCAGCAGCTCGTCCCTTGTGGGCTGCATCGTCCCCGAAGTTCCAGCCGAAACACGCACACCATTCAGCACGAGCGTCAACACCGCCAGGCCCACCAGCGACCTTGTCGAAACCACCGGCTTGTCCACCGCGTGAGCGGGGCTCTTCCCCGGCGCGAAACTGCCCAGGACCCGCCGCGAATGCGGGCCCAGGTAGGCTAGTACCACGCCGTACCCGAACCGCTCGCTGAACCACGCGTTGTACGGATCGCCCATGTCGTACCCCGTCGTGGGGCTCTGGTGCATCTCGATGCTTAATCGTCGGAGGCCTCGAATATCCGGCTGCAAGGGGATCTCGAGCGTTTTCGTGGCCTTGTCTTTATTATTGCGATGATTGTCCGCTGGTGGATGGTACGTCACGATGATCCGGCCTGGTATGTCGTTCTCTTCATCTGGGTAGATGATGTCTGTCGTAAAGAGAGCCATTTCGGGGAAATGGGGGACGTGCATGTTCTTGAGCGTGTAGGTGCCATTTTCCCCGGGAATGACCTTGAGGAGCATGAAGCGCCTGTCATATTGGAATCCTGTCCGGGTGAGGGTTGCTTCTGATAGGGAGACACCGCGGAGGGATTTGATGGGGTATGTGTAGAGCTGACGGCGAGATATGAGTTTGCTTTTCTTCGCAAGGGGTAGAGTATACCTACCTGGCTGATGTGCATATCTGCTCTTGTGGGTTTTTTTATTTCGCTGAATAAAGTAGGGTCAGTCAGGCAATGCCAACGTTGTCGATTTCTGAGTTGGAAAACACACTGATCTTGTATTTGGAATGAGAGTGCCGGTGGTTGAGACACAAATAAACAGCCTCACCTGCGTTCTCCAACTTAATGCGGAGAAAGTTACGCCGACCTATCGGATGCGGGGATAAGGGAATGTTGTTGATAGGGCGCAGATAGACAGATTCCACCTTATCCATAGATAATCACACCACCGGTACAGAACATTATAGACAAGAAGGAATAAAACAATTCCGATCACAGATTGATATTGTGTTGAATGTATATACATACATGCATGCATCATAAGCAGACATCTTGGTCATGTTGAACAGCTAACCCGCCAAAAGAAGCCCTCAAAACATCATCTCATTAAATAGCGGCAATGTATACTTTTTAATCATCCCAAGGAAGGCTGAAGGTGCCCACCCAGTCTTCCACCTCCTTTCTCAGGAGCACAATCTCGGAGATCTCCTCGCCTTCACCGACGTAGTCGAGGAAGGCCTTGACTGTGTTGGGGTTCTTGACTCCCTTGGCTGCAGCACTCTCCTTGGCAGCCTTGTCCAGTTTCTGGGTGATGATCACGGCCCGGTCGACAATGTCAGCGACACGACGGAAGTCTTCAGGCTGGAAGCCACGAGTGGTCATGGCAGGAGTTCCCAACCGCAGACCGCCGGGCTTCAGGGCGGACTGGTCGCCAGGGACGGTGTTCTTGTTGCTGGCAACGCCACAGAGCTCGAGGACACGCTCAACGCGGGCACCGTCGACGCCGCGGTTCTTCAGGTCAACAAGAACTAGGTGGTTGTCCGTGCCGCCGGACACGATGTTGTAGCCGAGGCCGCCATTGTTGATTGGGCCACCCAGTCTTTCCGACAGCGCCTTGGCATTGGCCAAAACGGTCTCCTGGTAGGCCTTGAATTCAGGCGTTTGAGCCTGCTTCAAGGCAACGGACAGCGCAGTGATGGTGTGGTTGTGAGGACCACCCTGGTGACCAGGGAAAACCGACGCGTTGATGAGGTTCTCGAGATCGTACATCTCCTTGTTGCCCTTCTTGTCTGTCCGGCGGACGCCCTTGCGGTAGAAGATCATGGCGCCGCGAGGACCGCGCAGAGACTTGTGGGTTGTGGTTGTCACAATGTCAGAGTGAGGGAATGGCGAGGGCAGCACACCGGCGGCTACTAAGCCTGAGATGTGGGCCATATCGCTCAAAAGGTATGCACCAGCAGCATCAGCGATCTGGCGCATGCGGGGGTAATCGATAAGCCGGCTGTAGGCCGAAGTGCCGGCGATGATCAGCTTGGGTCGGTACAGCAGAGCCAGCTTCTCCGCCCCGTTGTAATCAATGAGGCCAGTGGATTCATCCAGGCGGTAAGGCAGGGTCTCGAAGTACTTGGAGATGAAGGAAATCTTCTTGGTTGGGGTTTGGTAACCGTGCGACAGGTGACCACCATGGGGCAGATCCAGGCCCATCAGACGGTCGTGTGTGTTGAGGACGGCGGAGATGGCATAAAGGTTTGCCGGTGATCCGGAGAGAGCTGTAGGAGTTAGACAGTTATCTCTAAAGTATTTACTAGAGACTTACGCTGTACGTTAACACCCCATTCCTCGGGGTCCAGTCTAAAGGTCTCGAGGGCACGCTGCTGGCAGAGTCTCTCGGACTCGTCGATGAACTCGTTTCCTCCATAGTATCTCGCACCGGGGTATCCTTCAGAATATTTGTCTGGGGCCAGTTAGTTTCATCCTTGTGGAACCGACAGCAGCGGACTGACTTTGCATCACACTCCCCAGCGCATCGAGAACGGCTTGTGACGTAAAGTTCTCGGAGGGGATGAGATTGATGAAATGCTTTTGGCGTTTTTTCTCCTGCACCAGTATGAGTGAATCTATTCAACTGACACCCGGAAAGGTCAATGCACCTTTTGCAGAATGTTGTAGACAGTGGGATCTTCCTCCTCGAGGGATGCGGAGAGCAACTGCACGGATATGACATCAGTACATGTCCTAGGAACAAGCTAGGGAGATAGAGCGCACATGTTGCTGGCCATCGCGGCTGGATGAGGATACGCTCCGCCATTGCACATTCTTGGATGCAGCAGTGGGAGTCTGAAGCTGGAAGCCCGGACGGCGGGCGGTGGTGATAGCAGTGATAGCTCTAGAAGAGCTTCCAGACCGCGGGATGAGGCGCGAGGCCTGTCGTCCGCAACGACTCAGAGACATTGTTGGGCAGGGTTCAGCCTAACGTCGTCTTGGATTGTAGACAGTGAGAAGTAAAAAGTCAACGAAGAAAATAATGAAGAGAAAGTGGGTGATATAACAATGGCACGCCGATGGTTATCTCTTGATCCATCGGACAACGGTAGTTCTTGATACGGGGCGGCTCCGTTGCCCGCGGAAAGCTGTCAGCCGCTAAGCCGTTCTGAGACCAAGCACCCCGATTGGCTAATTGCGCGGAAGAGGATGTTCCACTCCGAGGACTCGCTTACAGCATCTCACTGTTTTTATCTCCGCCGGCATTCCTCGCACCTTTCTTCTCTTTTCCCCTCCTTTTCTCTTCATCACACAACTAAATCCAAGATGAAGAGATGGCGTCTACGGCTTTTTCAGTTCTCGTGGAAGAGACCGCTTCTGGCTGGCTTTTCCCGGGCGATGCTGATATGTCCCGCGCCCATTCACCATCCATGAGGGGCAATGAACCGTCTGATTGGATCTGTGTGCAAAACTGGGATGACTCGATGAGTTGGACATCTATGAGGTGTTTTCGTGGCCTACGTGTACAGTCATATCGAGGTAGAATGAACGAATTCAATTGTCTCTTCCCCAACAGATCCTGTATGATCCCAGAGTATGCGTAATGATGGAAGATGACTCGAACAATACGAGGTTTGTGTGAGGGTGAGACTTTCGGTCTAGTGAAACTCTACAATATGCACCACGAAAATAGGAAGCAGGAAGAAGGCACCTTGCCTGTAGCGAGTACGACGTGGCTCTGTAAGGAGCAAGTACTTTAGCTTCAAAAAGCTGCACTTGAAATTGGAAATTACGAAACTCTGATTCCTTGAGAGCCGAGCGAGCTTGAGAGCGTCAAGCATAGGCGAGGAAAGGAGCAGACCGCTCTTCTGGGAAATGATTCTCAGGGCGGCAGCAGGAGGTTGGAACAGTAGGAACCATGATCGACGGGGTATCTATTTACAGAGTATGAGTCGCAGATGTCTCTCAAGAGTCCGGACACAAAAGTTAGGACTCAATCACTCAAGGCTAGGACTATTAGACTAAAGAGTCTCGGCTCCTTCTGAACCCCGGAGATGGATTCTCGACTGCTCAAACAGGCATGCGAACAGCGGCACGATTGAGGGATCATTTGACCGGTTCAGGGGTATTTCAGGTCCAAAAACGTGGAGATCTGAGTGCATAGAGAGAAGTGCGTATATCTACTGTTTCTCTTGTCTACTCTTCTGACAACTCCTTCTAAAAATGATAAATCCACGCACTGGACACAAGACTAGTCTCATGAGCTAACATTAGGGCCGTCCACCACATTAACTCTGTCTGTACTAGACTGCAAGAGTGGCTTCGTCTCCTGCACTCCTTATTGAGTAATTTTAGATGTTTAATCTCCTGAGTCTGAACTAGATCCTGGGCCTGATTTCCTAGGTTAATTCTAGCCTGAATACTTCAGGACCCGTCCATCCTCCCTCCAGAACTTCCTTCTCTTCTTTTTTCTCTTTTCTCCGCCAACTGCTTCACTGCTTCACTCGCTCTCTCCAACTACCCCCGGTGTTATACCGAGTACATTCTTTTACAGAAATCTGCGTGGATTTAAATCCTGGTCGCTCTCTATCTATCAACCTTACCACATCAATCTCAATCAAATAAAATCATCAAAATGCGTTTCTTCGCTACTATTCTGGCTACCCTCGCCGTGGGCGCCGTCGCCTCCAACGCCGTTGCCGATGAGGAATACAGCACCGTCGTGGTCACCGAGTACTCCACCTACTGCCCCAAGGCCACCTCCATTCCCGAGGCTTCCTCCAGCGCTGTACGTCTTGGTTATATATAAGCGAAAGGATCATAAAGTGAAAACATGCTAATCCCTCATCTGCAGGCCCCCTCCATCACCGTCTCCGACGGCGTGACCTACTCCATCTCCCGGCCCCTGATCACCTCTACCATCACCAAGTGCAACAAGTGGTATGTCTTGTCTCACCATCTCTCGATGGGTCGCCAGATTGATTGAAGATGATGATGATACTGACTGGGAGTAGCCCCTCTTCGACCCCCCTCATCCACACCCCACCCCCTCCAGCAGCTCCATCGTCGTCGTCCCGACCTCCAAGCCTGTCATCCCCTCCGGTGCAGGCCCCAAGACCACCAGCACCCCCGCCGCCAGCACCCCCGTCACTCCCCTGGCGACCGGTGCCGCCTCGCGCGCTGCCGTCGGTGCCGGCGCGGGTCTGGCCGGTGTTTTTGCCCTGGCTGCTTACCTGCTGTAGCTGAGCTGAGCTGTAGTTGAGCAGGACTGATGAGGTGAGGTTTTGGCCTCGCTTGTATAGGGGGGTTGTGATTTAATTGATTGATTGAATTGATTCGTTTGGTTTGGTCGTCTGAGAACTGAGTCTACATTTTCATCGAATTGAATCGGATTCGCATTCGGATTTGGATTCAATATACATACCTTTAGTACAGGGTTACGCTTTTCATCGTCTCTACCCCAGGCGATGAAGGCGAGATACCACTAGCGTTTTACTATTACTAGTACCCCCCTTTTTCTTCTCTTTTGACTTCATGATTATTGATTTGTTCTATACGATCGATACCTGGTTTTATTAAGCATGGATTTACTTTTGGTTTACTTGACTTGATCGTATCCTCGTATCGAGACATAGTCGGAGTAAGTGGTGACTGGTTATAACTTCGCCTTGGCGGCAAAGTATTCTCGTACCCTCTCCCGCGCAACCTCCACCACCTCTGCATCCTCCACCGTCGGCGGAACGTTCACAGGAGCGTCAAACTCCCCCGCACCCCATTCTCCACCAACTCGCGCAGCACCCGTCGCAGCGTCTTGCCGCTGCGCGTCTTCGGAATCATCCCCCGCCCCTGAATGACACCCCCAGCGAAGCGATGGCCCCGATTTGCTCGCGCACCAGCTGATTCACAGCCTGAAAGAGCTCCGCGCTGGGCCGGGCAGGAAGCGGTCCCGACCCCCGCGGCTGGATGAATGCAAAGGGGAGATGGCCCTTGAGCGGGTCCGGCATACCTACGACGCTGGCTTCGCCAATGTCCGGGTGCGACAGGATGGCTTGCTCAATGGCCCCCGTGCTGAACCGGTGCGCGGCAACGTTGATGATGTCATCGGACCGCGACATGATGTGGATGTACCCATGCTCGTCGATCATGCCTGCGTCGCCAGTGTCGACCCATCGGCCATTGAACCGTTTGAGGTATCCCTTGTAGAACCGCTCGTCGTCATTGAATAAGCTGGTAAACGCCGTCGGGGCCAAGGGCATCGCCATGACTATGTTCCCCATCGTCCCGCGCGGCACCTCCCGGCCTTCATCGTCGACGACGCGAACGTCAAATCCGGGCATCGGCAGTCCGGCTGATCCAGGTCGAACGGCTAGCGGTTTGGAATCCTGATTCAGTTGCCGCTTGTCCACCAGGCCTGCTGCGCTGTTCAGCGCTAATCCGGAGATGGGGGATCCGGATTCGGACGACCACCAGTTATCGATCACCATGGCCCCCGGTGCCGCATGCTGGGTCAAGAGCGCTTGATACGCCTGGACGATGCTCGGTTCGCTTCTCTCGCCAGCGAGAAATAGAGCTTTCAGGTGCCTCAGTCCCCCGCGGCGCGCAACCTGCAGGAAGTACCTGTTGTCCGGATCGTCCTTGCGGATTGCCCGAATGGCCGTCGGCGCCGTAAAGAGCACCTTGACCTTGTGCTCCTCGACAATCCGCCAGAAGGTGCCTGCGTCAGGTGTCCCCACCGGCTTTCCTTCGAACAGGACCGTCGTGGCACCCACCAGCAACGGTGCATACAGAATATACGAGTGACCGACCACCCATCCGATATCTGAGGCGCAGAACATGACGTCGCCTGGCCCGTGGATATCAAACAGATACTTGATGGACAGATGGAGCCCTACCGCGTGTCCCCCTGCTTCTCGGAAGACTCCTTTCGGCAATCCAGTCGTCCCTAACACAGATCAGCAGCGTTACATTACCCCCACGAACCCAGGACGCATACCACTCGTATATATAATATACAGCCCATCCGTGCTCTTGACCGGCACCGGGCCCGCCTTGACTCCGCGCATCCGAGCGCTCTTGACCAGCCGCTGCCAGTTGCGCTGCCCGCCCATCTTATCCGGATTGTTCCACCGCAGCTGGTTCCGCTGCCAGATAATCGTCTTGGACGGCTTGAAGCTGCTCGCCGCAATGGCCCCCTCGACCAGCGGCCGATACGACACCGGGCCCTTGGACCCTTCAATCCCGCACGAGGCCGTCATGATCACTCGCGGCTTCGCGGCCTCAATCCGCTGCGCAAGCGACTTGGCTGCGAAACCGCCGAACACGGCCGAATGGATGGCCCCCAGCCGGGTGATGGCTAGCGCTGCAATCAGCGCCGCGGGAATCATAGGCACTGTCGTGGTTTAGCTCTATCTACGTGATGGTTCCAGAGCTGAAATACATACTGTAGATGATCACCACATCTCCCTTCCTCACCCCTTCCTCCCTCAACACGCCAGCCAGCACCTCCACTTCATCCAGCAATTGGCTGTATGTATACTTCTCCTTGACGCCCGTCACCGGCGAGTCCCAGATAATCGCCACGTTCTCCCCGCGGCCAGCCGCCACATGCCGATCCACGCAGTTGTACGTCGTGGAGATCTCGCCATCGGGGAACCAGGACCAGTGCTCGTGCGTGACCCCGCTAGGTAGAGTCTTGGGGCGTCGGACGAGCGTCTGCGAGGGCTCCTTGTGCCAGTGCAGCTGGGTCGCGTGATACGACCAAAAGCTTTCGGGGGAGTGCAGGGAGCGAGCGTGGACTGTTTGTTGGGTAGACATTCTCCCTTTCTTTTCCTTTGATGCGTAGGAATGATGGTTTCGAGATTCGATTGACCAAGAAGCTAGAGAAGAGACAACGGATAAAAGTGAATATGGGATGACTGCTACAATGTCACGAAGTACGAAGTATAATTGCACTCAGCACTACTCCGTAGTCTAACCAAACCCGAGGAGTAGATGGATAGCAGAACTGCAGAAGAGGATCACGGAGGAAAGGAAGCAGAACGAAACAAGCCGACCTCATGCACGATGATGCTGCAGGCGAGCTGAGCTGTAAGTTAACCTAGACTAAAGTCAACCCGTCCAATGCCGGGATTCGTTTAGACTCGGCAGTCAGTAAGCAAAACATTGACATGAACTCCGCAAGGGGGTTCATTGCTCCAGCCTCTATAAAATTTGAGCCATTAATGATGGAGATTTGATTCGACAATCGATAAGTGGATGAAGTGAAGTTGTGGGGAAGTGGGCTGATACTACGTCCTGGACAGGGTGGATGAAGCCGAGGATAATTTTGAAGCTTTCCCCGCACGGATGGTCCGTTCAGCATCCGGAGTGGTATGTACCATAGTACGTGGTACAGTTGTACACCTGTGAAAGAGGATCCAGATAGAGCTTACATACTGTCCACCGGATCGATCAGATTTGGACAAAGATACCGAGCGGGTGACTATACAGCATCTCCTGACTTTGAAACCTATATTCTTCGCCACTTCCACATAGTCATACAGGACTCGCAAGAACCGGGTTCGCTCTTGTGCTGATAGAACTGAATAATATATGTCTTTATTTTAGGTCTATCTGTGTCAGTGAACTTTTTGTTCTTTATATTCGCAAGTAATGCATCAGAAAAAAAAAGTAACAACTCAAAGCTCAGCCGTAGGGTATCATATCGAAATGCCTGCTAAACGGTCGACTGCTTCAGCGAAAACAACCATACGTCTTCTTCCCACCGATCCGGTCGTCGGTCACATTCCTTACTTCCTCCACACCTGTCTGTAGTAAAGACCCTCTTCTGACATTCACATCTTAGACTCCAGCCACGCAGAAGATTGGTCATGGGTCCAGGTGGCTGGAATGAACCACATCCCCGAGGCTGGAACCGGGCAACTGCAAGGGGTTCGAAATGATTATCCAGGGTGCGCGAGAGAAGAAAAAAAGTCTATAATCCCCGATGCTTCCGATATTCCAGCCTCTCCCGTATAACGGAAATAAAATCTGTTTTCAAAGGCGACACTCCAGGGGTACCGAGGAACATGGAGCATACATCAAGCATCTCCAGAAAACTGTATGTGCGTATCCAACACAAGTAGAGTAGAAGAGAGGCGAGGAAAATGTAACGGAGGAAAGGGACGAGAAATGACCGCCCAGTCTAGAGTCCAGAGACCGGTAAGACGTTCATGCAGCCAATATAAACAGATAGAAGATATTGCCATGGAGCAGGCTCACATGGATGTTCGTGGACGCTTGGAGTGGACGAAAGCGAAAGAGGAGGGATGCGAATGCTAATGCGTTCCTCAGAGTATGACGCACTTGATGCCACCTCGGTGTCTGGCACGGTCGGGTCGGAAAGTTTTGGGATATTCAGGACCGGCGTCGCGATCGCGCATAGGACCCAAGCCGGTCGGTCGACGATCCTGGGCTCGTCCTCCCTGCTGCTGTTGCCGTTGCTGTCGGAGCATGCGAACGACATCGTAAAAGGCCTTCTCCACGTTGATGCAGTTTTTGGCGGACGCCTCGACGAATTCGCAGCCCAAGTCCTTCGCCAGGGCCTGTCCTTCCTGCGCCGAGACCGCTCGCTCCACTGCTTTGTCGCTCTTGTTGCCGACTAGCATCACGGGTACGGGGAGGGCTGGACCCGAAGGCGCGTTCATGGGCGATCCCAGATAGCTGGCTCCGGATGGCGACCCGGAGTGGGCTGACTCCTTGACCATCTTGATCTGGTTGTAGAATTTTTGTATGCGAGAGAAAGAAGCGCGCGATGTGATGCTGTAGACAAGCACGAAACCTTCGCCGTCGCGAATCCACTGATCTCGCAAGGCCGTGTATTCCTCCTGGCCTGCGGTGTCCAGCACTTCCAACATGCAGGACTGCTGATCGATCACGACTTGTTTCCGGTACGAGTCTTCAATAGTCGGATCGTACGTTTCGACGAAATGATTCAAACAAAGCTATTCAGAGCAAAAAAAAATTAAGTCGAGAGTTCAGATAACGGTGTCATCAACCGTTCAAGACAGAAATGGAGGGCTAACCTGGATCGTGAGCGCGGTCTTACCGACACCACCATCTCCCAACACCACCAATTTGTACAACGTCATCTTTCCCGACATGGCGACTATATCGCACCCGTAGGTCAAAAAATTGGTTGATCGGATTTTTTTTTTTCTTAAGAGGGAAGAAAGAGTAGAGGAAGATTGGGTACGAGGCGAAGAGGAAGGGGAGAGAGGGGCGAAAAGAGAAGAGAAAGCTATGAATGCTCCACGGTGGGCACGGACGCGGATAACGGAGTGTTGCGAGACACTACGACCGGGGGTCCAGCACAGGAACTTAAAGAACGGCTATTGTGGTAAAGTTAGTGCGGTTATTAGCCACCGGAAGAACCGTCGTTGCTCTGTGGCCGTCCAAGCACATGTGCAGCCCACAGTCCACACCACAACACGAGGCCCACGGGAGCAAAAGCAAAAGGAATGAGAGACATGACATACCTTTGGGTCCTTAAATTTGCCTTTATGATCAGCGAATTGAAAGCGAAAGGTATTAATAATCCCTCAAGCTCTCCGGTCGCAGTATAAGCTCGTCGATCGCAGGATCAGGAGCAAGATAGTACGAGGAAGAAAAATTTGGACTCGAGCGGAAAACCCGAGAGTTGCAGCAGCCGACAACAACTGTATCTGCAGTTATCCCTGCCACAGCGTGTTTGATAGTCTTAGCAGAAGGACAAAAACGCGGGTTTGCCAGTACTTCCGATGAGTAGTGACACAAAGGGATGTTCTGCCAATATATCTGTTGTCCCTTTATCTTGGGGGGTGATGCCTGAAGATTGATTCCGCCACACAAAAATAGCAGAGTTGAAGCGGATCCAATTTGGAATCGGAGAGTAGAGAGAGTTCAAGAGGTGTGAGGTGGAATATCTTTTCACTGTTCCTTTCCTTTTCTTTTTCGACAATACTCCTTATCTTGTAGGGAGGGGGAGGGGGAAAGCTGCACAGGCGATCAAGCGGCCACGCCAGGGAGGACCAAGGATAAAAGGCTTGGCCAGCGATGGGAGAGATGGTGGATAGAAAAGCAAAACGATAGATTGCTTATAAGAAACAGGAGAAGATGAAAAGGTACAGTTAGATGGAGGAATAGATACAGGGGAAGAGATAATGATAATATAATGAAAAGGGAGGGAGAAAAATCACAACAATAGTGATTAATTATTCTGTACCTAGACTATTATTACGGAATACTGAGGCACCGTTTCCTTCCCCCTCTCTCATAATCCGATGTAGCTAAACCAGCACCTACCCAGAGTAGTTAGTGAAGACCTACGGCATTGTATTAGCATGAGAATTGGATTGATGTTTGACAAGGGTAGGTATAATATAGCGGTAACAGACAAGGAAAATAGATCAATGAAGCCAAAGGCGAATAGAGAAAATGGCACCTATTGGAGTACTTTGTAGGAACTTTTCTCTCTTCGATCAATTGATAGATTTGATACCCTGCTGATAACACGCATTCTGGAGTTGAACGGAGGCAATTGTGTGGCGTCTCAGCTTGCATGCTTGAAGTATCGTCTACAAGCCTAAAACGGGTATATTGTATAACACGAATCATTTTCAGGGAGTTGCACGACAGGGTGATTGTCCTGTCATCGTCAGGGCTTTCGCACTGTGATGCAGATCTAATTCAGAGTACAGAGGTATCCTCAGCTTTGACTCTCTAAAATCTAGTAAGCGAAGCGATAGTAATGGGATCCGCGAGGTACCTGACGTCGAGGCGATGCGCATTGCCCACGAGTTCAATACATGTAATTCACCATACCCTTCATGATGAGATAGTTGCGATTCGAAATGCCCTGTTGCTCCCCCTGAGTCTCTGATCACGGCCTGAAAGCGAAAGTTTTTGCCAGTTTTAGCCTCGTCTCAGATCTTCAAGGAAACATGCCCACTTTCGACTGAAGACAGTTTCGGGTACACACCAAGTGGGCGGATAGCCACACTAGAACACCCCACACCAGACCCAGCTAGCAATTGGCATCAACTCAACTCGGGTCGTTTAGGCTTCATCTTCCAACAAGGTCAAGCGGTAAGCTTCCGAGTGATACACCGGACGACAGGGCATGAACTTAGATGTCCGGTTGTGCACCAAGACGGAGCGCACCAAGAGTCCCAAAGCGTGTTGATTGGAGCTCAAATGGCAATCTGCAGTGGCAATCAGAATGCTATCTACTACTAGTCTCGCAAGTTGCATCCCTAGACTATTCGACGGGGAAGGCAATCGAACATTCCGCGGCCCCCTCGCTACTCGCTAAAATTCCATCTTCCTGATCCCTGGGACTCCTTATGCGCGGCGCCCCGCTGGCAATATGGCAGTTGCATTTAGAGTTAGCAGCGTATGCAGTATGGCAGTATACTTGAGACTATGGATGTAGCCAGGTGGGGCAATATCATGTCGAGTCCTACAAGACACTGGCTTCATAACATGATCTCAATAAGGAGTACTGCTGTGGCATTGATTATGAAGGTATAAAAAGGTGAAATATGCGGCGTCCATGAACGTCATCGCGGGATTTGTGCCTGAAATCAGAGATCACAACGATGCTCACTGCGAATAATCCCGCAACCCTAAGGGAAGGTAGTATTCTCACTCTTCTAGAATGGCCTTGTTCTTGGCTCATGGAATAGTCAGAGATTTACACTTTAGCCTCTAAGCGATTCAGGTTAAGGGGGGAGGGGCATTTGACATCCTGACAGTTCATGTCAGATATCCTGCCGGTATCACAGAAGATTGTCCGGGGTTTCAGTCGATTTACTACGAAGATACTCCGTGCTCCGAGTACTGCACTCTGGTGTGAACTGAGGTTGTATCTGTAGATACTTCTCTCCCCTTCTTTGCCCCTGCCCTGGCACTGGCCCATTTCCACGTGGGTGAAATGCACGGTAGACGGTACTACTGCACAGTCCAACCTAGCGCCTTTAATGTATCGATCTTACCTTGTTGATTGATAACTGAGCCTGGAAGTATCCTGAACTCGTAGATTGATTCCTACATGTGATAGAAAGGTACGCGGTAGATCACCGTCATCGTGGCATCATATTACTATTGATGGATAACATCTGGATTTCGGAAGGATCAACCAGGAGCACTAAAGTGACTAAAACGCAGAGCCCGAGTAGCCGACGGAGAGGTTCAGGGGCCGTCAGCCCGTCACGTTGGATTATCCATCACATAATATGTGACAACCACTGACTGGATTCCGACTAACCCATGCTCATGGGTTATTTCTCCGGAGTTTATCCAGAAAGGCTCAGTAGACTGATAGTATTCCATGTCTCTATCTATATTCTATCCCAGTTCACTACAGATTAAACAGTGAGACAGGTGATGTTTTTAATAACTAAGGTACGTACTCACTCAAGTTCAGTGTAGCTGCCTGTCAGCTGGGAACTCGATGATCCGAACCATCGCCCATCCCAATATTCATCCGCTCGGAACGCCCCGCTCAACCAGAGTATCTAGCAAACTTGGCATATCTAGCCGCGCTGTGTGCTCGGTGCAGGATCAAATCAGAACCGAGATGAGAGTCAAGTAATGGCACTAACTATTGCTCCGTCCACGGTTGTCGTTTCGACGGTGCCGCCGCGGTGGTGATATCGCCCGTTTCCTATGCCTCTTTGGGTGCTAGTGGCTACCTGGGACTGGGTCGGATGGATCTAGACCGTCGCTGGTTACCGTCTGCTTAAAGAGGGGAATTGGATACGTAAGGTGGTAGCTGGACAGGGTTGCAGTGCATAAGACGAAGCAGGTGGCAGATTGGGGGCCGGACGGGGTGACTGGAAGATGATTCCGAGTTGAACAAATGAACAAAATATTCACCAATGGGAAGAGCATTCCACCCCATGATCCAAGGTGCTGTTCCATCCTGCAGGACGAAAAAAGCAAACCTCCACGTTTTGCCTTACCAGGAAGGCCTCGTTCAGCTTCTAGTGTCATTCTACGCCAATCACTGACTCGCGGCCATCCACGCCTACCCTACTGTCCCTGGGACAAGCTCCTTCCGATGCTTCTCGGCTACAAATGACGCAGTATGCAGTGCTTAATCCTCGATTAACGCGGAGACCGCGGGGAAAATATCGCTTGAAGTCATTATGATCGAGTATGTCACCTCTGATGCGTGACTCGCCTCTTACCAGTTGCGATGGCTACTCTTCCAACGGTAGGGTCTGGCCCAGGCCATGCGGGAACGATCAACGGCGCGTTGAACTGTCTCTCGGTTGCCTTGAGATACCGGATTTTATACTAGCTTGGTCAACATGGCCCTCTTTAGGGCGAAAAAGAGCTCACCAGATTTCTGGGACGCCCCCGCGTCTGTCCCATTCGTCTTAGTACAACCGCTGGTTCCAGCGATCAATGTGCGGATAGTCATGCCGGATCATTGTGAGATTGCATCCGAAGATCATGTAGTATGCCGCGTCGAAGTGAGCAATCGTCGTGTACAGCGGAATGTCCACCTCGGTGGTGTTCGGCCCGAACAGATACGGCTGGTGACCGGGCTGTCCGAGCTGCTCCTCGACGCGGTCCAGCGCCTCAAACAACGGGGACAGGTTGGCATGGTCCGTTGCCCGCGTCGTCCAACCCGGCCTTGTATGCCTCGTTGTTCTTCTCCTACACCCACTCATTCATGGCGTCGATGTCGGCTCGCACAGGCGCGGGTACAGTCCGCCGCCCCGGGCGGGTCGACTTTGCGCACCGCCTTGGGCAGGATGATCGAAATCGGCGTAGAACATGTGGATGATCTCGCTGCTTTCATTGTTGACGATCGGTTGGCGCTGTTTATTCCAGAGGATCGGGATCGTGTACCGGCCGTCGTACTGCGGATCCGCCTTTAGATAGAGCTCCTTGAGCAGCATGAATCCCGTATAAGGGGATCCTCTCCGCGGACCCGAACCGGCCAGAGAAGAACCACCCTTCCGGGTCCGGCGCCACCAGCTCGGATGATGATTTCGAGTCGCTTGAGAGTGTGCACCGGTGCGGTGCCCCCAGGAACACCCGTACCCCAGGTACAAGCACGTAACAGTCTTTCCTGCAGGGTACTCGGAGGATGAGTCGCTCAAAACAAACGAGCGGAATGTCGACGGCTTGCGACAAAACTCCTCGTCGGCATCGGCGTGCTTGTACTCGGGGCTGTCTTCAGTGTTTGCATGAGTAAGGCGGGAAACATAGTTACAACCTTGTCCGTCTTGTTCTATAATCCGGTCACCGGCGTTCCTGTGGATACTCATATATGGCACTCATATAGTTGAGCTTGCTGGCTGCTGAGGGATAGGCTGCCACCGTCTTACGGTCAGCGGGAGTGTGAAGAAAACAGCATGTCTTAAAGTCTGTTTTGCAATTGTCGGGGTACAACCAAACCCAGAATGTCTCAAATACTCATGCAAAGGATGCAATGGATGCAATGGTCATGGGTACTCATCAGTCGTAATGTATATACAAAACATCATTGTAGTCTACACCTTGGCCTCGGTATCAACACCAAACCGCCTGGCAAGTTCAACAAACCCATCGCAGCTTGCATCAATCCAGATATCCACATAACCCTCTTTCCGTGCCTGCTCCACGTCCAACGTCTCCTCCTTCAGACGCTCAACATAGATCGTCTGAAACCCACAGGCTTTGGCACCCTTCAAATCCCCCAGATGCGCCGCCACAAGCGCACACTCCCCGGCTCCACTCCGAACCTCTCCGCACCCCCGCCGTAGACCTTGGGCGACGGCTTGTACGCCCCAAAGTGCTCTGCACTGAGCACTTCCGTGAAGGGCAACGAGCCGTACCGACAGAGATCTTCCAGCAGTGCCACGTTCCCGTTGGATAGGGTGCAGGTGCGGAACTTGCGGTTCAGCAGCTCCAGGCCGTGAACGGTATCGGGCCACGGCGTGAGTCGGTGCCAGCTCAGCGCGAGATCCCATCTCTGGGCGTCGGTGAACAGGGTCGCGAGACCGTGGGCTTGGAGGAGCTTGAGGAGGTACGAGTAGTGGTGTTCGTCGACGGGGACGAAGGGCTTTGATGGATCGCGGTTCTGGGTGAAGTGGTGGTATGACTCGCGCCATTCCTCGGTTATGTCGAGCCAGTCTGATTGAGTCATTGACGAGACTTTGGCGCGCACGGGGTCGGAGAGATTCTTCTCTGGGTCTTGGAGCGCGCTTTGTGCTGCGTCATGGAGAGCTTTGGAGACGGGGTTGCGCCATTCGACGACGGTGCCAAAGACATCGAAGAAGAGGACTCGGGGAAGAGCTTGGGGTGGCATTGTGACTCAGTAGTTCGTAAATTTCGATAAATATGGTGATGGTTCAACCACAATCGAATCCCACTCGATATGGAATATTATGACAGATCAACATGGTTGATATTTCTTGTTGATTTGAGAGAGAAAACTGTACCCCGCAAAGGCGTCATATTGCCTAACGCCGAGAGTCGGCGTGCCAACTGCCAGGTCAGGATAAACGTTCAGCCTGGGATTTACCGGTAACTCAGTGACTGAGTCGGAAAATTTGACCGACATCCAAGCTTCATGATAGAATTAATTGAACAAATCAGAGAGAGAATCAAAAGGAAGAACAATGAGGAGACTCAATTGCGGTAGGAACTAAGTGTGATGCCTCCGAACTGTAGTCGACAAGTGAACGAGCATGTGGATGAATCACATCATCACATAGTCCATTGCTTCAGATAGATCAATGATCATCCTATTATTAGAGTCTCAATCTATTAACCTGGACTTTGACAGCTGCAGTGTGATGATCATCAACGGCTGCACCATGTGTGTTAAATTAGTGCGTCGTATCTAGTTGTAGCCTCGAGCTGACACCTCGGTATTATGAATTCCTCGAGTTCAATCTGATGATGTATGGCAATCCAGCGTCTGTACTCCGTACATGCTAGGAGCCTTTCTCTTAGAATAGATAATTGAGTGGTTATATCTCGTCGGAGACTATCTAGTCCGGAGTATAGCAGTCAGGTGGAGCAATTGAAGTAGTTGGGGGCCTATTCTGTATGGACCTGTGTCTTTTCTTTGTTGTTCTTTGATCAAAGACAAAAGTACAACCCCTGAATGCAAAGCTTCCAGGCCAATGCTAACTAATGCTAGGCTAATAGATTGTAGTGGGGTCACTAACGACGCCGGGCTAAACTAAGCAGTTTAGTTGGATTATTACAGAGTAGTGGACTTTTGTCACGTTCTTGACTTTTTCGGTCTATCAAAGGCATCATGTTCTTCTGTGGTTGGATAACTAGGATAAGGACAGATGTCAAGGACTATGGCTACGAGATACTATGTACTACTACGTACAAGAGAATGTATATTCATGATTGAAAGTGGTCTTTCATTGTCTCTGGACTCACACAGCACTCAATGTTATAAAAGCAGATCCCGGACCCATAACAGAGAGTACCTCTGCGTCATATCAGGAATCCAAGGACATAGGAAAAGGGGCCTGAGCAAGGACCACTTAAATCTATGCGGGTCGAATGAGTCTCTTCCTTCAGCCTATGAAGTTATATTATTATGAACACAATCAATTTACATCTCAATCAACCCATCTCAAAGAAGTCAAGCGCTCCGTAGAAAGTTCAGTTCTGAACCCACAGTAATGAAGCCAAGAACCAAAAACTGGGACGCGGCCCGTCTGCGTTTTGTGTACCTCTCCGGTATCCAAGGAAAAGACTCGGGTGTTCCCTCACTTTCCGAGGTTTGTCTTCTGCCTGGGTCATCTGTTTTGTTATGAAGTTGATAATAAGGCAATTATATGGCGGTGGATGGTAGTATATAGTATTAATTGGGTATCATTATTACTACCTTACTGACCACGTCTTGCGTTCGTCTGCAGTCGAAACTAAAAGATTAAATTTGGTCCAATAAACCAATTGATTGCTCGATCACACGCAACAACCGAGTGGAAATCTAATACGTACTACACCTCTGTAGTTCGCCACTATAACGCTCGTGTTTAAACCTACCACATGCTCGGATTCAGGAATATCACTCCCTACTGAAACACGGACCAGAGGCTATGCCGATCTTGTTAAGAAGCAAACGCAGGGTCTACTATAGTAGATATCTATGATGATATCTGTCTCATGGCGTGGTTAATGATCGTATCGCCAATTTTGGCTATCGTATGATCCCCCTGTCGATCAATACCTTAATAATGGATGGATGGTTCCGTGTATTATTCCGTTCGAGTCTTTAGGGAACCGTATCCCCTCGAACAAAACATTACAAGGATACAGAAGAGGGACACCCAGGAGAAGAGCTTCCATATATATGAGGTAGACGAGGATCATAATTAGCATCACGTCCTGTTGCTTGAATGGATGCTCATTTCGCTGGTTTAAAAAGTCCATCATCAGTCGAGTGGAGTTCATAGTAGTTCATACTAAGGTATAAGATGATTTTGAGAACAAATTTCCCGTAATTGCCTTGGTCAACTATGTACCTACCTTACCCAGGGCAGCTTTTTGGTACCTGTATGGAGTGTCTCCCGTCTACTCCGTACCTTCGACGTGAGGTAATAATAAAAGAATACGTACTACAGTGTACCATTTCATTATTATGTACCTATTATTGCATGGGCTACCTTAGGTGTAATCAGAAACAGAGTACAGCATGGTAATCATGATTCATACACCAGCCTGTGTCTGCCAGCGTCTCCTTTTCCCTTTTCTCCCTTCCTTATCCTTTGAAGGCTGAATTAACGCGCATGTTTCATATCCACTTTTGCTGTTTTCTTTTTCTTATTGTTCTCGACGGATAATTAATCACCTTTATTATTACCTAGCTGGTTATTATCACTTCTTTCTTCTCCCAACAACGGACAGGACGCGACCAACATTGAATGGTAGCCAATACCAGCCGAGTCCTATCAATTTGCCGTCCGTTTTGATCCGTCGTCTTTAGTCTCTATCCAATAATCCACCGACGCATCCATCGATCCGACACTTCCCACTCGATATCAGTTAGTCCAGTCTAGGCTGCATACCTGTAGCTCTGGTGGGGTCCGGTATTATTGCGCTCCTCTACCTTCCACTAATTGGATTGCCGTCCTTTATTACTTTCATATGGAGTACTCCGTAGTGCCAACGCTACTAACCACGACGGTGAGGAGTACCCCATCGGTGCTTTGGTGCTATCCAGTAGTGCATCCACCTCCTAACGAACTGCCCCCTGGACTGGTTCAATCTTAGTTCCTTTCAAGATGCTTGGACAGGTTCCTGTGCCGCAAGGCTAAAATCGATCCTGCCAACTAAAAAGGGGAAAAAACATAAAAAAGAAAAAAAAAGTAAAAAAGAAATTGGAGACTGAACTAACGGGCCTCAGCTGCATGGGCTCGCTCTTTCCACTCGCCATCTATTAACTAGATAGCCTAGACTTCTAGTTTTAGTTTCGAAGGATGAGTGATTGAACGCAAGACCGGCCGTCATCTTGCAGGTAGATAGACAGTACTCTGCCTGCGTCTGTCGCCTGTCGCCTGTCTCGAGTCTCGATCTTCACCCTTTCCCCCGCGTTGCGCGGATTCATTATTTCCATCCTTATCCTCCAATCCATTCGATCCCTTCGCGGTTGTTGCACCAGTTAATTCGGCTTCTATGTCTCCTCGCATTCGCATGATAATTTTTTATCCTTAATATCCACGTATATAATAGACAACTGCAGCACCATCCCCTCGAGGGTTCAACCTTCAGGAGCTGTTCCAACCTGAGGTACGTGCACGTTTACGCAAGACTAGGGAGGCTGGATTGTTCAGCCTTCAGAACTGAAGACGACCGGCCTGGATTCGGCTGACTGGGCGGTCACTGTAGATTCATTGGGCGACCATTCTCGAAATTACTGCTGCTGGCCAGCGCCATCGTTCTTCCCGGCAGTCGTCGACTCGCTGCCGTTGACCTTCATCTCGTCTCGCAGTCTTGAATTAGATCGATGGATGCCGTATGAATTGCTTTGATTCGGATCTATGGGAACGGGCCCGACTGCTCTGCGCTGGTCAACTTCCGATTCCGTTGGTGTTAATGGTTGAAAGCTCCGAATCGTGTGTTCCCTCTGAACGATAGGATCCATGGCCACAGACGTCCAATATCAAAGTCCTTCGGCGGCTCAGGCGTTCCCCACGCCGTCGACAACGCCGCACCGGGTGCCCTCCATACATGTCCGCAGCGACTCATCGCCGATCCGCTCCGCATCACCTCTTGCCCCTCACAACTCTTCACCCGAAGGACCGAGTGATCTGGATGACGTTGGAGATGAAGATACTCTGTCACCGTTTGACCCGCGCAGATTCACACCCACCCTACATGCCTCCTTAGTGTCGGAGATTCTTTCTCTGCGGCGGGAGGTGGAGAATAAATCCAAGGCGATTGACGTGCTGGAAAGAAGCTTGGACGAGTCCCGAACTGAGAACGAGGGTCTAACTGACCGCCTGTCACGAAGCACGAAAGAAACACGGTCTCTGAAACATCAATTGCAGCTCCTGGAGGGTGGTACCTCCTCTGCCTTGACTGAGCTGGCAAAAGAGCGAGACGAAGCTCTGGAGAATATCTCGGATGTACGAAGGAAGCTGGAACAAGCGCAAAAGAAGGCCCGCAGTCGAGAAGAGGAGCTCGAGCGAACCCAAGGTCTCTTAGACCGCGAAAGAGAGTCCTGGGAAGGAGAGCGTAGAAACCTCGAGCGCAAGGTCCATGTGGTGGAGGGCCGGCTGAAAGTTGTCTTGAATGAGGTTGCCGCGGCGCAAGCAGCAGCTTCCGTGCCCCCTGTATCGGCAAAGCCAGATACCCCAGAGCCAGTCAGACCATCCACCAACAAGAGAGGGAGCGATTCGGCCAGTGTGCATTCCAGCAGCCAAGGACGACGTCGGACGAGCGTCACCAGTGTGAGCTCCGAGGATGACGCTGACTTTCATAATGTGCGCTATTCTGCTGCCAGCCTTGCGAATGCCCGAGACAGCAAGCCCAACGCAGTGAGTCTGGCGCAAGAACTGGCATTCGACGAGGAGGAAGAGTTCGGCAATGAGCATGACGACTCAATCCTGGATTCGCCCGAGGCGCTACCAGAAGAACGGCCGACTTCGGTCCACTCCCATGCGTCCCTGTCGATGAGCCTGAAGGCTCGAAAGATCCTTGGTCTCTCCATTGGCAGCAGCATAGACGGTCATGCAGTGTTTGACAGAGGTCTAAACAGCCCTGCCAAGGTTTCCTCGCCCACATTCGAATACCGAGACACTGGTATCCAGTACTCGCCGCCGCCGTCTCCTCAATTACCTCCTGAAAGTCCACTTGAGCATAATTCGCAGGCATTGCCACTCTCTTACCAGGCAAAAGACAGCGGTACTTCGACCTTGACTATCGACATGAAATCGACATCTTGCCAGACGGTCGGCGACCTGCCCAGTCCTCCGTGGACACCACAGATTGCCGAAACACCAATGACTGCAGGCCCACAACCGGCTGCAACAGCCTCAACATCGACGCAGACCGATCTCGTTCCAGCCTGTGCGGCAGACGAACAGGATGCGGTTGCAAGTCCTACAAAATCAGTTCCTACGGCGATTGAAGTTCCCATGATCGCCATCCATCCACCGCGTTCCGAGCCTTCTTCGCCTCGAGGAAGCGTGGTTCTGCCACCTCAGACGAAAACCGTCTCCTGTCAAACAACCTTCAAGACCGTCGTCGACAGTCGATCGGTTGCCATTCAGACCGAAGAGATTCGTATTGACAAGCGACCGGTCAAGTTGCCAGCTAGCTTGCTTCCCTCTGCCATCCCTGACATGCCGCTTAATGTGTTGCGCGCTCAGGGCAGTTCAGATTCGCCCATCCAGCCGTATCGACCCCCGTCACGAAGGCTGGAGCGGGGAGAAACCAAACCACCTCCACTGCCTGCCAAGGCTCCGTCGAGAAGCAAACCGCCCGCCACGGTGCAGGCATATCCTGGGAACAACGACAACGGGCCGTTATCGGAGGATTCTAAATCTGACTTGAGGCGGCCCTTTAGATCAAGCAGTCTTTTTGCCGGTTTCGAGGATGAAAATGGCGAGGACTCGCGGGAGACAACGCGAGATATCTTCACAGATGACGAACTACTCAATCGGCCGTTTGCTTCATACAAACTGAAAAGGGGAAAGCTGATCTCGGCGCAGGAAAGGTCGAGTCTGGACGATACCATACTGGCAGAAGTTGATGAGCACCTCCTCGATGCTGATTCTCAAGTCCATGAGGATCTGGAGCTGTCTGAATCGTCGGCGCATGGGCAGAGGCGAGGTGTGACAGGTCCAGGGAACGAGCGGGATGGCCGGACGGCCACAAGGGTCCCTAACGCCGCAGCAGGGCATCGGCGAAGAGCACGCAGCCCAAGCGAACCGAGTATTGACAGTGGCAGCGGGGCATCGAGCGTTGCTCCTCCGTTCCCTGTTCCAATTCGCCTCAGTTCAAGAAAATTCCCCGGCAACGGGAGCGATGGACGGCAGAGCCCAACTCCCTCCAACCCACGCAACTTCTCTGATCGCGGACGAGCGCCCATTGTGCGGAGACCGACACTGCGTCGCGTACGTTCAGCAGCGGCCATGTCTCAATCGGAGCATCCAGAGCGGCCTCCGAGCCAATCGTCTCCGTCCTCCTATGGGCTGGAAAGTCCTCAGTATCCGCCGCTGCCATTTGATGACATTACGGCGCCTCGGGACAGGATGGCTGTCGAAAGACGGTCGATGCAGCGTCCCTCTGTCCCTCGACCCTTTGCCCATGAACGGCAAGACTCGAACGCAACGACCTCAGTGCAGCCAACCAGCGTGGTCGACGCCATCGCGCAGACAATGATCGGAGAATGGATGTACAAGTACGTTCGGCGGAGGAGATCTTTCGGCGGCGTCGGTGAGCCCAAAGACAGTTGGGAGGGCAAAAACGCCGACGAGGTGTCGGCCAATATTACCAACAGCGGAGTGCGTCACAGGCGATGGGTTTGGCTCGCGCCATACGAGCGAGCGGTCATGTGGAGCAGCAGGCAGCCCACTAGTGGTCCTGCGCTGCTAGGTAAAAGTGGCCGCAAGCGTAAGTCTTCAATCTTTTCCAGAAAGAGTGATGAGTTCGCACTGATAAGACTAACTGGCATAAGTGATCATCCAATCCGTTCTCGACGTCAAGGACGATAACCCCCTGCCCAAAGGAGCGACCGTTGCAAACCCGTTCAACCGATCGATCCTGATCTTGACCCCCAAGCGCGCCCTAAAATTCACCGCCATCAGCATCGAACGGCATTACGTCTGGTTGACTGCACTCTCGTTCCTGAGTCATTCGGCAACGGGCATTCAAGACCTCGCCGCTCTGCCTCCCGTCCCGCAGGCCGAGTTTGAGTCGCCGGCGCCCACCGCGAGTCTCCGCCGGAACCCAATTCGCGACTCGATCCGCATCGCCAAAGGGCGCCCGCGACCCAACATCAAGGGTAAACGCAACATAGCGCCCGCCCCCCGGTGCCCGAGCTACCCGCCAATGGTTCGGAGATAATTGACTCGATGCTCGACGCGGCCGACCCGCCGACCGTGCCTCGGTTCTCCTCCCACGCCCGCAAGCGCAGCAACACCACGTCCCGGATGCCCGTAATGCGCAGCTTTTCCAGTCAGGGGACCATACCGTCGATCCAGTCCATACATAGCATGGCCACGCGCGGGGGCTCCCCCACCTCGCACGGGCACGGCCTCAACAGCGGCCGCAGCAGCCTCAGCCGACGCACGTCGGAGGCGAGCGGGCCGTCCAGTATCGGGACGGGTAACTTCTTCGACGCCATTGGCACCGTTCGCATGGAGGCGTTTATCGACCAGACGGCGTCTGGTCGGTATCGCCTGGGGACGCGGTCGCGGCACGCACGCAAGCCGTCGAGCCTGTGGGGATCAAACAGTCAGCGGTTCTACGGGGAGTTTGCCATGCCTGCGGACAGCGAGCCCGATCCGTTTAGAGGATTCTAGCGGGGCGAATTGAATTTTTTGTCGTGTATATCGTTATTACTGTATGTTGCAAGAGATACCACTTGACGCTTCGCTTGTATTTCCGCTTTGGGTCTTCTTGAAAAGTCAGTCAATATGCATATACATATATCTCTATCGCAGGACACAACCATCAAGGTCATCCGCCTGATACGCTTCCTCTCCCATCAGAATATACTCCGTAGACCAATCCCAATCCCATATCAATATACAAATCACAGCTTCGCAGCCTCCTTCACCTCCCCAATCTTCAACTTGGGCGAATACTTCTTCAACACGCCCTCATTGTGGTACTACTCCGTACAAGCATTAGCCTCTTTTCATGTGTACGTTGGGAAGAAAAGCAGCACCCACCTTCCAAAACTGCTTCGACGCATCCTTGCCCGCCACACGCTTGAGGATCTTCGCCCCGCCGGGATGCTCGTCGATGAACTTGGTCACGTCGTAGACGCTGTTGTCGATGATGATGTAGAGGCCCTTGTCGGGGGTATTGTGGGTTGCGACTTCGGCGGGGGTGAGCGATTGGGTCATTTCGTTCTCGGCGTTCTTTGGGTTCTTTCTCTTCTTGATATCGCGGTGATTTCTCGAGGGGGAATTGAGGTTGTTGATGTCGACGTGAAGGTCTCGTGGTTGACTGATGGAGTTGGAGTAGAATGGGGAGATGGAGATGATGAGTGGAGTACGGATACTCCGTAGTCTACTCTGTACCCAGTAGCTCTCTATGAAGCTGGGGTTCTAGTCTACAACAGCCGAGGTAAAACCGTAAATCTCAACGTCCGAACCGCGGTCGTGGGCAATTCTAATGCGCGGGCGGTGATTGGTTACTCCGTCTTCCACTCAGCCCTTACCTAAGGTAGTTCTAGAGTAGTTAGTACTCTGTGGAGTGTGCGGATCATAGATACTGTGTTATCTAGTTTTTAGAGGTATTGGTATTGTTGCGAAAAAATGCTACAAGTATATACAGATGCTGATGGCTGAGCTGATTAATCCTTGCTCTTCTCGCCGGCTGCACCTTGTCCCTTGGGGACTTTGCGGTCCAGCCCCAGCGTCTCCAGGTCCTTCTTCTTGTAGTAATGCGGCGCGACTTCGACCAGCCACTCTGGCTGCAGAGGCATGTTGCTGCGCATGTACTCCTTGCTCGTCAGGACGAGTTCGTAGTAGATCACCCAGCGAGGGTTGACCTCGAACAGGGTACTCGACGGGTGGAGATAGACCGTCTGGCCGTTCTTGACCGTCCGGTAGCTGTCGCCGCCGCGCTGCAGCCGGGCCGCGTTCGGGAAGAAGCCGGCTGTAATCGCCTTCTGGATGGGAACGTAGTTGTTCGATCCGCATGTGCTGATGGTGACCTCTACGCGGTCGCACAGCTTCGCCAGCTGATCGCGCACGTCGCGCGCGCGTGTCAAGCTCCGCTGCTGGAGGAAGTTCTCGCGCGCCCAGATATAGCTGAAGTCTGAATCCACCCACTGGTTCCAGATGTTGAGCAGCGTCAGGTGGTCGCCGCCGTCTTTGACGGTAAACCGGTTGCGCGCGCTGTCCGCGTGGATCTTCTTGTCCTTGGGCCGGAAGAAAAGAGCGCTGGCTTCGCCGAGCATCGACACAATCGACAGGACCTCCTCCACGCAGCCGTACTTGTCCGCCGCGAGGATCGCCTTGGCCAGCATCGGGTCTGTGGGGAACTCGGCCATCTGCCGTCCAATCTTGGTCAGCTCCCCGCGATCGTTCAGCGCCCCCAGGGCATACAGCTGCTCCAGCGCGCGGATGATCGTCTCGGCCGGCGGTGGGTCCATAAAGTCAAAGTCGAGCAGCTGATCGATTCCCAAGGACTTGAGCATCAGAATGACACTGCTCAAGTTCGTCCGTTGGATCTCCGGCGTAGTGCTCTCTTCCAGCTCGTTGTAGTAAGCCCATCGCGTGTACAGGCGGAAACACTTTCCCGGCCCAACTCGACCGGCTCGACCAGCTCGCTGGTTGGCCGACGCTCGCGAGCAAGGCGTCACCACCAGGCTCTCCATGCCTGTGCGCGGGTTGAAGACATTTTCCTTGGCGAATCCCGGGTCTATGACGTAGACAATGCCGTCGATTGTCAGACTGGTTTCGGCGATGTTCGTGGCCAGCACGACTTTCCGCGCTTTAGGTGGGGTGGGCTCGAAGATCTTGGTCTGGAGTTCAGACGGTAGGTTGGCGTAGATGGGACAGATGATCATCTCGGGGACCTTGCTCCCCAGTTTGCGGGCCGTCTCTTGTAAACTCTGTTCAGCCGCTTCAATCTCTTCCTGACCGGTCAAGAACACCAGGATATCCCCTGGGCCCTGGCTGACATGGATCTGAAAAACGGTCGTGATGGCGGCAGCCAAGTAATTCGCCTCGGGCTGCGACGTGTAATGAATGTCCACGGGATACCGACGACCAGGAATGTTGAAGATGGGTGCATCGTCAAAGTATTTCTGGAATTTTTGTGCGTCCATGGTCGCAGAGGAGATCAGAAGCTTCAGATCCGGCCGCGCCTTGGCTATATCTTTAAGGAGACCGCAGGCGATATCTGTGGGCACCGTTCGCTCGTGCGCCTCGTCGATCATCAGGGCCGAGTATTGCCCCAGGTCCGGCTCGGTTAACAGCTCACGCAGTAGCATACCATCGGTCATGTACTTGAGCACCGTCTTGTCGCTGGTGTTGTCCTCGAAACGGATGGCATAGCCCACTTCGTTGCCCAGCTTCACTCCCATTTCTTCGGCCACACGAGCCGCAACACTCATTGCGGCCACCCGTCGCGGTTGCGTACATCCCACCTTCATGCCATTTTTGGTGAACCCTGCCTCGTGGAGGTACTGCGGGATCTGCGTGGTCTTGCCGGATCCGGTCTCTCCTACAATGATCAGGACTTGGTGATCATGCACCGCCTGGATGATTTGATCCCGGAACTGGTAGATGGGCAGGCTCTTCCGTGTCTCCTCGATCGACGCCGCTTTCTTCTCCGCCGCGTCCAGCTTCTCCTGAAGCAGCCGCTGCTCCTGCGTCAATGGTTTGCGCGTCCCCTCCAGCTTGGTGTCCATGACGAAATTGATCTTCTGCGAGTCGTCAAAAACGTACTCGTAGTCGCCCTCGTCCACGAATTCTGCGCGTTTGATCTGCGCCTTGGCCTTGGCCGTCTGTTCCATCTCCCATTCCTCGTGCTCAGTGACAAACCGTTCCTGACCGCGCTCGTCACGGTCCACATATCGCTTGTACAGCGCCTCCTCTTTCTTCTTCCGATCAATCTTGCCTTTCTCCGTGATGTAGTCCTCCGGCATCATATACCCATCCCGGTGGTCGTCGATCCGTAAGCGCTCCTCCGCGAGCCGCAGCACCTCCCGGTTGCGCGCAAATTCTTCCTTCTCCCGACGGGTCAGATTGGGATTCTCGCGCAGCTCGGCCGTCTCCTCTGCGACCTGTTGCCGCAGCAGCGCCAGCCGCTCCGCCTCTCGCTTCTTGAGATACTCCTGCCGTGACCGCAGCCGCAGATCAGGCATGACGGCCGCCCTCGCCGACGCATCGTCCGCCAGAGCCCGCCGTCGCGCCGCCTCACTTGTTCTCGTCCGATCCTCGACAATCTTCTTGCTCTTGCCATCATCCTTCTTGGCCAGACGCTTGGCCAACTCGTCCCGTTCCTCCAGGTCTCGCTTGCGCTCCAGCTCCTTCTTCGTCTCTGGATCTAATTCATCGGATGCCGTGGACCGAGGCGAGGCCGACCCATCCTCCAGCCGCGTGCGCTTCGGTGGCGATTCATCGAAGTCCTGCCCCTCTTCACCCCCATCCTCATAGTCGTCATCCGGTATCTCCTCGTCGCCCCACCGATCCTCAAAATCATCCACGGCCCGTCTCCGCAACTTCTTCGAGCGCTGCCGCTCGCGACTGCCCTCATCTCGGCTACGGCTGCGGTCGCGTTTCCGGCGACTATCCTCCTTCTCCCACCGACCGCGACCCCTGTCCTTGTCCTTGTCCTTATCCTTGTCCTTCTCTCGGCGTCTCTGTTTGTCGCGCTCCGCCTCGACATTCTGTGGCCCAACGAGCTCGCCGTGTCTGCCAGATCAGGCTCCATATCAACTAATCGGTATTTTTTCTTCGACGCGGCATCGCTGCGGTCCCGGCCCGTCGCGCTACTGGATCCGGACACATCCTTCTTGCCTGCGCGTCGGTAAAGCTCCGCACAGAATGAGCTTACTTCGTCGGTGTTTCCGTCGAGGAAGGGGAGGAGTTTGTCCTGTAACGAGGACGCGGATTTGGCGGTGCTGGCGGTGGCGAGGACGAAGTCGACGACGGTGGGATCCGACGCGCCTGTCAGGCGGATCAGGGAGTCAGAGACAAATGTTTTGTGTTCCATTGCTATGCCGGTTATCGGTGTAGATGCTAGGGTGAATGCGTTCAATGTGTTGCAACCTTTTTGAGCCCTTTGCTCTAGTAGATGCTATCGCGCATGATTGGACCGTTCAGGAATCGAGTCGAAACGAACAAAGTAGCCCGTTGTAGAACCTTAGACGTAAAAAAAGAAGCAATGAGGTTGCAACAGAACAGCGTGACCGAGGAACCAACGGTCTTGGGATGGATAGATAGTTGTCGGAGCGGAGGTCGCGAAAATCCACGCCGAAGGTCAAGCTGCGGCGCCAAGACGTCGGGCAGTGGCGAGTAACATGCTGATACTTGTCCATGGTAGTCTACAATATCTACCCCTGGTATAGCGAGGGTACGGTTTTATCTGAAAAGTTCCAGAAATGCATGGATCAAGACAAGATATCTAATATGTTCTCATTCTATCTACCACCAGTTGTTGCGTCCAGACCCAACACGTATAAATCACAAGTATTACCCAGTTCTCAAGCCCGCTTGATCCCATATCGGCTGGCCAGTCCGTGCTTCTTAAGGACTGCAGTTGGAAAATAAAAACAGAGAAAAAATAATGACAATGGGTGAAGAGAAGATCCAGCCGATTGGAGATGGGGTCACAAATTTGTAGGAAAGGTTCATTCATCATCATCACCGCCCAAGGGTCCATTGCACTCCGATTCACTCCAACAAAGGAAAAGGAAAAAGAGATAAAAAGTTCAATCACAGTACCGACTGCCCGCTGCCCCCTTGAATGGTATCCTTGCTCAATATCCCACTGGCAATGCGAGAGTGAGGGGGGTGGGAGGGGGGGAAATATATGAGATCAATGGCTTCAGATGTTGCAAGGGAAAAAAAAGGAAAAAGAACAGGCACATCATACACAGCAGGGAATCCAATCATGCAGGACATTGGTACATTTCGAAGAAAGAACAGGCGGTATCAGACGCTAAATCAGACTCTGACAAAGGAAAAGATTCTTTAAACGAGCGAAAGGTGACTCATACAGAGTCTAGGTCGAATCTCGAAAACCATTTTCGACCATATAGTCTGAGGAGTGATGAATCGATATGCACAGGGGAGGAATCCTTCTTGATTCAAAAGAGGGAGACAGAAGCGGGCTCGATCATAGATATAGGCAGCCGGCGTTCAGATACTCATCAACGAATCCCTGATGCTGTTCGAACATCGATATGGTAGGAAGTGTAGCGCAGAATTGAGAATGCAGCGACTCCATTCGAATAAGGCGCGGATATATCGAGGAATCCCGCTCACACATCGATCATTTCGGCATCTTCAGCCAGGATCTCGTCTGCAGGGCCCCAGTTGCCTTCGTAGACTGTGGCCCCAGCACGACGTCGACGTTCTACGAATTGGACCCCATGGGTTTCGAGAACTTGATCCGCTGTGGGTCGGTCAGAAGGATCGGGGGAAATCATCCACCGGACGATCTTGTCCAAGGCTTGTTCGTGACTTGCATCGATCATGAAGCTTGGAGGATTGACCAGCTCCCCGCTGCGCGCCAGAGGCACTGCCTGACGAGGGCGGCTGTTCAGAAAACTATCTTCTCCAAAATCGTCGTCGCCCAAGTCCGATGCGCAGAGTTCCTCAAATGACGGCTCCTCCGAGATGGGATTTCCGGAAGCGTCGCGGAAGATGCTGGTCTCGGAGCTCCAGGTCAAGCTAGGCACGTCACTCATATCACCGTTCCGAAGCTTTTGCCATGAGAGACCATTATCGGGGAGTTCCACATTGCCCGCAATCTCGAACATTATCAGGCCCAGCGAGAATATATCCGCAGGTTTATCGAAGCGGCCCATCAAAATCTCAGGGCCGATGTACTCGCGATCTCCTTCACCCTCTATGCCATCTTCCGCAGGCCATCTGGTTGCCATGCCAAAGTCGGCAATCTTCAGGACACCCTCAAAGGTAATAAGGATGTTTGCCGGCTTGAGATCAAGATGGATGAAGCCGGAGTCATGGATATGCTTCAGACCCTGCTGGAGGTTAGCCCTTGCCGACCATTCTAATTTTCAACAGGAAACAAGACAGGTTTGACCTACCAAGGACAATTCTAACAATATCTTCCAGATCCGGAAATCATCCAATCTCGCCTTGAGGCCAACCTGGGCAAGGAACACATCCAGGCTACCTTCCTCGCAAAATTCCGTCTGGATGTACAGATGACCGCTGTCTTCCCAACTGTCGACGAACGAAATCACATGGTCCGAGTTGGTGAGGGCTTTCAGTACATCCACCTCACGGATGCGGCGTTCACGGTCTTTCAGGCCGGCATACGGCTGTTTTGATTTCTTGACTGCCCACACCCGTGCAGGCAGCGCCCCAGGAGACTTGGCCCCATTTGGGAGAGAAAATATGGATGATAGTGACATTTCATGAGTCTGGGCCACGCGATAGACCTGGGAAAATTCGCCCGTTCCCACAAGCTCTACATGTTCAAAGCGGGAAGTCAAGCTTGGGTCCACATCCGGGGCGTGGTACCCGCTCAATGAGAGGCTAGGTCGCTTTCCTGATTGCATGAAAGAATCACGTGGGCCAGTGGGTGTTGCTGGCAAGTTCGAAGAGTTGAAGTCCGGCTGGAGCGGGTGCTGGTCGTTGTGTGCGGAAATGGACAGACCGCTGGGATCTGGGGGAAACAGGTGATCCTGAGGTGTGCGAGGGGAACCCCGCTGGAACCTGTCATGTAAAGGACTCGAGTTGTTTCCGAGTGCTTCGGATAGTCGTTCCAAGGATGCGATCTGCTGCGTGGCTGGCGGATAGGTTCGAGAGGGGAAGAAAGTTTGCTTCGTTGGAGTCGGTGGAAGATCATATTCACTCAATGGCTGACTGTCCGGCTGAGCGCAAGGTGACTGAGACTGTGTCAGCTCATCACCGTCCACGCTCACGAAGCTGCCTCGACGCGAGAGGTCTGGCTTGTTAAATGAGTTCCCAAAGATACCCATGCCCCGTGCGAAAGATCCCGACGCGGGACGCGCGCTGGGGGGATTGGACGGGGAGGGGGATGGCACGACATCTGCTTGTGGCATCAATCGAGGGCGTTCCCACTCGGGCATCGGCTTCTGACCCGTGGGGAACAGATTGATGGGTCGCTTGCAAGGGGTATCAGGCATGTTCTTGTTGAAACCGAGCATGTTCTGGTGATCTTCTGCATTACGATTCTTCTTCGATATTAGACCCGTTGACATGAATGCGGCCGGCAGAGGCTTGACCAGCTTGTAATTCTCCGGTGTCGCAAACGAGTCGACGGAGGATGTCGAGTCCTCACGATTTAGCTGTCGTACGGCACCAGGTCGTGTCGCGCCCGCAGGAAGAGACTTGGAGAAATCGAAGACGCCGCGCGGCCGCTCGGACTTATGCATAGGCTCATGAGTAGGCGAGTCGTCTGCCAAACTTGAATTGGACGAGGACTGTGTAATAGTTCTGGAAAGAGGATGCGCTGCAGGACGCACCTGTCCTGCACCCGCGGCGCCATGTGATGAGAAGAGAGGGCTGACTGGTGCAGGTCGCGGAGAGAAGAGACCCTCGCGACTCGGCTGGAAGAGGTTACCATCCAGAGACATGCGCGGCCGGACGGTCATGGGGGAACCTGGATCCGTCGTCTCGGCTGTATCGCCTATATTTCTAGGTCGGGAGAAAAGAGAGCGGTCGGTTTGGCGTTGTTGTAGTGTCGACCGACGGAGAGATGAACGTTTGGGAATCGTGTTGAACGGGCTCCCGAAAGGCGGAACAGGTGAAGGAAAAGATGGCGTATCAGTGACAGCTGGAGTTTCTGCAGCAAAATCTTCAACAGTGCTGGGGGGAGGGCCTTCGTTGTCGAAGATACTGAATTCGCCGGGGTAGTTGGCGGCGTGAACACTTCGCCTCTTGGCCGAGGGACTGCCTCGTGATGCTCGGTCGAGGTTCATAATCCCGTCACTACGTTTTAACGGGCTTACGGTAGCAAATGAACCAAACGTTCCACTGCGTCGTTTTTCGATCCTCGACAGTGTCGGCCGCGGTGCAGGCGTGTTTTCTGTGCAAGTCGAAGCCTCGTTCAAGCCCGTGCCTTCAGAGACATTATCATTAGACTGTAAGTCAAGCGCTGGAGTCGCAGGTGTGTTCTCCGCGCCAACTGGCGATAATGCCATGATTGGAACCGGCTGCGCAGGCTTGGCATTCCCTTGGTCTGTTGAGATGTTGAGGGCGCGCTTGACGGGACTTCGCGGTGACGTTCGCGCCCGCCGCATGACAGGTCTTGTGATTTTGACGCTGGGTGGGTACGGAAGAGCGAACGGAGAAGGATGGGATGTACTGGGGAAGAGTACAAAGTTGTTCTGTGTAGATCGTCGCGATGGTGAGAGAGGGGACGAGATAAATGGCGTGCTTTTCGATGGCGAGTGGCTCCGAGACGCGAGAATTGTGAAATTGGAGCTTTTCGAAGGGGATCGCGATAGTGACCGGCGCAACTGCCTGATTGCGGAGCTTGCATCAACGTGATGGATCCCTGAGTGTGAGGGCAAGTGCAGTGTGCCGCCCGCATCGCGATGCGGTGAGAATGTTGCTACCATATTGGAAAATATCGGCAACAACTGCGATTGTGCTTAATTGATAGCGTAGGTTGCTGTAAATGAGGAAAGGCGAGATACGCTATGAATAGTTGTGATGGTGATGATGCCGCAATGAAAGGAGCAATCACCACAAAGGCTGAAACCAGACCGCGACTGGCGTTCACAACAACAAAGCAATGGGAGGAGAGAGCACCGCTGGCGGTGCTGTTGTCCTCGCGTCTGACTTGAAGAAAGCGGGACCAGTCGACAGCAGTGGAATGCTGTGAGACTTGGGGCGAAGCAAACAATAGCGATTGTTTCAAAGCGGGACAAACAGTATCAACAATGCGAAACAAATGACGGGTGGCACTTCACCAACTCATGGCGAGCACCAAGTTCCGAAAGTCCTTGGCAATCTCCCATTCAACCCCAAGCGCCAGTAGGGGAACCAAAAAGGCACGGAAAGAGTGTTGAGCCTCCTTTGTGCCCGCTGTAGCACTGGGACCACACGCCTGAAACACTCGGTGGTATGGCGGTTCTATTTTCCTGGAGCTTTTCGGAGCGCAGCCAATGGACAAAGGAATGTTTTGGAATAACAACAGGACGTCAGAGAAGCAAGCGCGACGCGAAGAGGCGCAAGAGCGACTGGCGAGAGGTACAGGCGCGAATGAGTTTCTGACGCGAGTAATGCACGACAATGACGAATAGCCAAGGGCGCGAGAATATGCGAAGAGTTCAAGACGACGAAAGGGCGGATTTGACTGATTGAAGGGGAGTTGACAGCAGCAATATGGTTTGTCCCTTGAGTCTCCCTTTCCTCCTTTAAACGTTGAATGGCTCCCTCTTTAAAGCAGACGAGCAGGGCGCACAAGGGGTCGAGAGATTATTGAGAGCGTCCCGAAGAAGTAAACGACGCCAGACTCTAGAGCTTCCAGACAGCCACGCGAAGGCAAGTCAAAGGTCGACTGGTCGGAAGAGAGGGGTCGCGAAGGAAGGGATGAGCTGATGGAGTCGATAAACGGAGGGGTGGACACTGGACGATAGACGGAAGTTGCGGTATGCAGAGTCAAAGCCCAATAAATCATCCGAAGGGAGGGGGAAGAACGGGGAGGATCTGATATGGTGGGTTAAAAAGGCTGTGGGTTCCTCTTTCCTTTTGGATGAGTCCAACGACAGTAGTTGAGATCTTTGTTCTGGACGACCAGAGCTCGGTAGGTTGTTGTTATATTGAGGATAGAGAGTTTAAGGGGAGATGAAAAAAAGTTTCAGTTACGTGAGCC